CACATAGCAGTGAGATCTAAATCTTATGTGACTAAAGGCTTACCCTAGATACTACTTCACAGTACATTTGTTGTAGCCTGGCCAGCCAAGACTACAGTCTTACTTTGCAAAGATGTGTGGTCTGGGACAGGGTAGTTTCTACCAAAGTCACAGTACATTGGGCATGACTGTCAGGGATATCAGAGAAGCATGGTTCGTTCATGTCAAAACCAACATTGTGTCAAGTAAAAAGGAAAGAAAAAATAACAGAGGATAGATTTCTGCAGAATCAACGGGCTAAGCTCTTAATGCTGTTAATCTGTGGTAAAGGAACATAGTTTGTTGTGAATCTAAGTGGATATTCGAGAGGAAATATCTTCCTCATTTGAGAGATGTCCTCTACAAATAAATAGCTGTGATTGGGTCATCCAAAAACAATGATTGTGAGCCTTGTCCCAGACCCTCCTGCATTCAGAAAAAAACAGGCTGGCTGGCCAGGTATCATTTGTTGTTTGGTATTCTACCAAGTAGTAAGTTTTCCCACATAACTGCAAACTTCTGTACGAATAACAACTTTTCAATATTCAAAGGGAAAAAAAACTAGATAAATGATATGTGAAGAAGATCATTCAGGAACATCCAACATCTTTGATCTTGTACTTACTTCTCCACTAGAATTTATTACCCATTTAGGATTTATTGTCTCTTTTTAGTTAGTCTGTAACTGAACTATTAGACATCTGCTGCTCCTCTGGTGTCGCTACTGCATTGTTGTGTTTCCATAGCTTCTAATTATAAGATTAGGCACAATGCAGACACATTTCTTCTTGGGCTCCTCATTTAAAGGCTGGCAGGGAATATTTCAGACTCTGGGTTTAAGTCCAGCTCCGGGAAGTTCGCCTAACTTTGCTGGCAGACGGCAAAGGAGCCTGGCTTTCAATCTCAGTAAATCAGAAACAGGCTCAAAGAAAAGAATGAAAAGAGTGAAAAATACCCTAACTGTGCAAGTATGTAGTGGGATTATTAATGAAGTCAAGAACAGGGTCTATTGCTGACATTTTTGAGTTACTGATACCTTATCATAACTTGTTGATAAATGTCTTTTTTGAAGATTTTGACAGGACTGAACATGACTGACAGTTGATGTTTCGTTAACCCAGTGGTGTTTATGCATTTTTGTGTATGTATTGAGTGTGGAGAGAGGGGCAGATTGTAGGAGGGTTTTGGTATATTTTAGTTTGTATTGTATTGTTGTGTATATGTTGTGTAAATATATTCAAAAAATAATAATAATAATAAATAATATATTAAAAAAGCATAAAATTGTGTAAATCGATCCTGGACTTTCTCCCCCAAAAAGACATTGCTGGAATTACTGAATTTCATTTACATGAGAAGAGCAAAGACAGAGCTGTTTGGAGCAAGTAGCACACACACCTGTCTTCCATACATCCATAGATAGTTGTTTATCTGTAACACAGGGGGTTATGAAGCAGAACATACAATCACCATTATCCAGTGTTTATGTAGTCCTGCCCATGGTTCAGGCAGCTGTGTTTGTTCTTCTCTATTATAGCCTTCTTGTCTCTCATTCAGTTTGAGGTGGGTCTTACGCAAAAGACAATATTCTGTTGCAATTATTTGATGCGAGTGAGAATTATCATAGACATGCCCAATAACCACTAATTTTCTAAGTGCTACGCAATGTGCTTTGGCATTAAATAAAGCACATAAACAGTAGAAAGTGTTCAGGACCATTTAATTAGCTGCAAATGAGTAAAAACAGTGGCTCTAAAGGTCATTTCCCACATTATGATCAATTGTGGGCCTGGAATGTGAGAGTGTGCATGCCTGTGTGTGTTTTATCCATCATGGCCGACATTCTTCAGAACGAGATGGGAGGAACAGCACTCCTCCATTCTCTACTGGGATATGAATCAGAGAGATAGCGCTGGCATTTGTAAGAATTCTCAAATTAATAGGTATTATCGAGTCAAGATAAAATATATCAAAAGTGCAATTATTTACTCTTACAAATATTGTATTGTATTGTTAAAAAGTAATAATCATCACAACAAAAATTATGAGAAATAAAATGTGGTAGGTTTTAGTTTGCCATCTCATTTTTATCAGACATTTATGGACCCTGTGAGTTCCCACTTCAACAGTAAATCAACCCACTTCAAAAGGGCACTGACTGTCAAAGTGAAACATTTTAGCCCATTACAGTGACACAGAGTTAGCTCCAACCACAAATGTAAGGTCATTCTGTGTATATGAGAACATGAAGAGGGTCATTTCCCATAGCGGGTGGTTCTGCTACTGGGTGGTGGTTGTATTTTCACTGTACAACTTCAGAGAGGGCACTTGTCACTGCTAATCCAAACTAAACTATGCATGAAGCCACGTAATATAAAATGGTCAAGAAGGATTCAGAAGGGCTGAGAAACATGGAACACCTCACAATTCAATCCAGAGTTACACAGCTCCTGATATTGTATTTTGACACTGTGATGGTCAATATTGCACATGCTGACATACACACATAAGATAAAAACTGGGATTGGAAACTACATTTGAACAAGGCCAGGTCTTCAACAGAACTATAACAGGATGAAACAAAGTCCATTTCTTGACTTAAAATTGTTAAATTTAGAACTAAATCTATGGAAAAGTATATAGCACTTATTTTTTTTTAATGAAAAGTTTTCTTTCTCAACACCAAATGTATGTAAGCTGATATTGGAATAAATACACAGCACATTGAAATACCACTATTACCACTCTACAATTTCTATTAAAAATGTATTACTTCTACCTCCCAAATTTGTTTCTTTAAAATTATTTTTCAGTATTTCAAAACTTCAGAGATGAGAACATAGGAGTTTCAAAACAGTGTAATATACACCTGTAAAGTACAATGCCCCAGCTCTCATTCAGATACCATCTATAAATACAGCAGACTGGACCATACATGCAAAGTGTATAGTGTCTTTATGCATGTTGAGTGACAGGCTGATGCACACTTAATCTCATGTCTGATGCTCAGCAGGTCTGTACAGGCACAGGACTGAAGCAGTGGATGGAGTAAAGCTCTAGAAGTATTAAAACATTGTTCCTGTCTTCTCCTATATCACAACCATACCTGGAGTTATTTTATATGGAGTTTTGCTTAATTCACACATGTTTAACACGCAAACCCAGCATATTTAGTTAGTTTTAATTTAGTTCTCTCAAACTGAAAACATTCTGTTCCACTTTGTGATGTCATGTGCTAATACAGGAAGTGCCACACTGTGTTTTTCATGCACTTTCACTCAAATCATTTGGATAAATTCAGCCCAGGATTTGTCCACGTCTACCAAAGTAAAAGTGAAAGATAACTGTTAACTTGAAAACTACTACTACATGATATCACAAGGTGACACAGAGCATTTTGAGATTTGGAGATGTAGACAAATAAAACAGGCTTCCTCAGAATTGTGTGAATGAAATAAAACATAACTTCAGGTATGTTTTTGAGGAGGTAACAACATTGTAATAAGTTGCTCATCAGAATCTATGTTGTGTAATAAAGGACCTTTAATCGGGACAAAAGATGAACAATGAGAAAGTTGCCACATCCCAGTTCTTGTTTGGTTGCCATCATGTGTATTTTGTATGTGTGTGTTTGTTGTTTATTTGTGTTGTGTTGTGTTTGTAAGAAGAAGAGTATAGTGTGCCTCTGGACTATATTTAAGGCCGTTCTTTTATCATTCATACTGTACTTGAGGACAAAAACATCATCTGCCTGGAAAAACACAGTCACCATTTGTTTCCACCAGCTCACTCCAGATCCTCATAGAATTGATCAGATTTGTCACTTTCCTGATTGTTTGATGGTGCATTTGCCAAAAGTGATTCGACATAAGTTTTAACTAAAGACCACCCAGTAACAGGTCATAGGTTAAGTATCGAGTCCCTCACCCAGTACAAAGCTTTTCTCATTTATTAGTTATTTCAGAACAATGGTCCAAGAGTGACCTCATGTCACTGGAAACTTGTTTTTGTCATTCATTCAGATATGCACTAATATTTTAGGTTTTTACTTTCAGCGATCATCACAAATGGAATTAAATTTCTTATCATTTTTAAGTAAACTTTCACCTTCTTTGAGGAAAATCTTTAGTTTCAGTGATCACAACTTGAATTTATTTTACATTTTTGGAAAATTTTTGCCCCTTAAAAAAGTTGTAGCTTCAATATGACATTTTAGTGTACAGTCCTTTGTGACATTCAGCAAAGCACAATAAATGGCAGATGGCTAAATTTAAGTTTAATAAATTGCCCTTGGACTGAAACACATGTAGTTCTGCTTCTCATTCAGAGTTACAATCAAGATAATTGAAGGTACAATGGCTGTTTTATATGATATTCATGACCCTGTGCCCTTTGGCTGATGCTTATTCATTTAATTTGCTTAAAAATATCAACATTGGCTAAATTTTAAGCAGTAGTTACTAAGCACAAGCTTGCTGTAATTTACCCTGGCCTATGATTTTGCTCCCTGAAGATTTTCGAGAGTAGCTCGAGAAAGGGCATCTGGCTTTAAACCTACTGTATGCCACAAATGCACTGTGTGGCATACTGTAGGTTTGCTGAAGGGTGCCTTGGGTAGAACCAAAATTATATTTGTCATCGAACTTTTCAACTCACCAAAATTCATAAAGTTTATAGTTTGATTTGATTGTTAACATAAACAATAATCAATGCAATATTTCTATTGGGTTAAGTTCTTCTTTCTAAAGGTTAAGTTTAAACTTAAAAGCGTCTGCCAACCATTTATGTTTCTACTTCCCCATTAAACCTAAACACACAGACAGAGCAGATTTGGGCTTCAGAGGCTGAAACAGAACAGTTCTGGCCCAGCATGTCCAGAGTGACAGGCTGACAGAGGCAGTACCAGGCAGCGCTGAGTTTGGACCTATCATTACCAGATGTCACTGTGAGTGTGGCGCGCAGCCCAATCACTGCTTATTGCCTTGAACGTCTCTGCCTCTTTTCTTCTCCGTTCCTTCTGTTCCCTCTGCTTCTTCGCAGCACTCTCTTCTCCTCTTTTCTCTTCAGCTGTTTTTTGGAGGACGCTGATCTTAAGAGTGGAAGTTCTTCAACAATTGTTTCCTCTGAGTGGCTGTGGGACGCCCCTCTCTCCCTCTTGCCCTGCTCCCTACTTTCTCTCTCTCCCTCTCCTTCTCTCTCCTCCCCTTGTTGTGACAGAGCACACCTGCTTGATCTTGGTTGCACGCGCTCTGTGTCCAATTACCCCACAGGCCACTTCATAGGCTCATCCCCCACTCAGCTGGATTTTTGGGAGTTCAAGCCACATCTCGCCACTCTCCCATTCACTTTGCCTTGGGTCTACTGTGAACAGGTAGGTCCATCTTTGTTTTATGAATACTAACTAGTAACTTTCTGGTTAATATCATGATGTAATACTGTAAGAATCTATATGACTAATTTGCTTTGAATAGAAAATGTAACTCTGATATTGTTTGCCTGTGTGGTTGGAGATCTTGAATTGTCTTATTATATTTTCTTATAACTCCTGGCTTTGTCATGAGGCCCTTAATTCTTTCCAGAGCTAAGAGAAAGACTAGCAGCTAGAGAAAAGGGGGTGTGGTAGCAATACAGTTGATGCTGTCTCTTCCATTGTGCCAGTAACATAATTTTCTGACTGTTAACCTTGTACCACCCAATGACACATGTTTTTTCATTGGATTGTTTTGTTAACAGTTAGATGAATTTGTGGTGGGGGGGTGCTGATTATTTTGATTTTACCTTTTTTCAGTTTCATAGGGTTTTAATTTCTCCATGTTTACACAAAGTTGCGGGGTTGACTGAGGCAAAAGTTAAACAAGTGGAAAAGATTAGCATTTGCAAAGCTTTATTTCATTGTGGTTGTTTGGCAAATGAGAAAAACGCCTGACACAACAAAGGCAGTTTATTTATGCCTGTCTCATTACTGTTTGCCGTGACTTTGAATGAAAAGCTTTTCAGCATGTCTCATACTTTCCACGGCACCAGTCCATTTTTCACTTAACCCTTATCTGCGTCTATATATTTGTGCTCCTGCTTTTTCTTACTCTCTATGTGGCATATATTTCACAGCAGCCTGACCAAAATGGCTACTTTTAAGCGAAAAGCTTTGAAGAGGAGATAAAAAACAGTATACCTGGCACCCACATAGTACCATTAATCCTGTAATGATACAGCTTCCTCTATCAAAGAGGTCTAGAGACTTCCCGGCATGCCACCACACAGCACAGCTAACTCATTACATCCATTTTGCCAGAAGGGAAAATCCTAATAGGGTTCAGCTGCAGAGTGGACCAATGAAACATGGAAAAACTGTGGCAAAGCAGACATAGAAGTTAGGGCTACAATAGAAAAAGCAGGGCTACACTGGACAAAATCCTCTTTAGCAAGCATCAAAAGTATATACTTTTTAAGTATCTATGTGAAAAAATACAAAAAGACAAAACAAACTTTGACAGATGGGTTGGATATACATTTACAAGACTAATGTGCATACTTAAATCATTCTAGTTGGAGTAAATTGAGTAAATATTAAAAGGTCAGTAAATGGTCTTTGCATTGAGCCAGAAATTCCTTACATCAATCCAACTCCTTATCTCATCACAGTGCAAATCTCTAAAAACACCAACAAAAAGAATCATTTCATTCCTGGCCCATTGCTGACCCTTCTAAATGTCTTGAGGAAAAATTTGTTTAGCTAGAAGAGCTGAACTGAGTAGAGGCAGGTTGTTCTGGATCCAGGCCCAGATTTGCATTGAAGACCTTGCATTTTTTCCATCTGGGCAACAGATCTCCAGGTTACAATATGAGTGAATTAACAGCAGTGGAGCAGCCCTGCACCAGAAACCTGTCCATCTTTCTGTTTAGAACTTTAGGACAAACCAGGATAAGGTACTATAAAAGAAAGGCCCAGTCCGGAAAGAGGAGGAGAAGATGGAGAGAGAACAAAGGCAGTTGGATTGGGCATTTGGTCCATGCGTCTGTTGGGCGGGCGGTTGATATAAGGATACAGCTATTGTGGTTTTGCTAGCTACATTATGACTGCACAAACAGCAAAGTTCAGGGACTAGTAAATTATGGATATGGACTGTTGAGATTTAAAAGGGATCTGAAATATTTTAAGTTACATCAAGTATCAGCATATCTTTACAATCTCTTTAATGGATGATAAAACTTTATACAAATTTACCTAAATCCAGGAACCGATCTGTAAAAGTAAGTTATTTCAATATAAACTTGTACCTTAGGAACTATTTAGTTAAACTATTTAAGTTTACACGATAATTAACTTACAAAGTGACCCATTGGACAAAAACTGCATTCCAGATAAGACTGTCAAGGCCAAACTTTCTTATTACTTGAATATTATGGCAAGATTGTTTGTTGGCCATGTTCTTGCATATTTTCAGATATGCGTGTAGCCTCCAAAATCCCCTGTTATTCCCAGATCTCCTCATACTTAACAGTCATAGATCAGTGCATGTTACTGCTTTACATTACTTTATTATCTGTTGGGATGTTTTTATAGAGACATGTGGAGTTTCCAGTTTCACACGTGTTTAAGGCGTCATGTTGTCTTGTAAATACTTCTCAGAAATTCATTGCAGACAGAAGCTGACTTTGAGTTCTGGTTTAGTGGATTGTATTAATTGAATTTATTAGATATGGTTACTATAGTAAAAAGGTTTATGATGAAAGTGGGCACAAAAAAGTTCACTGACTTGATAGTGCTTTGTAGAGGACATTTTAATCCATTATCAAATGCCAAAGTTCAAGGAAAGGTAATGATAGGGAATAAAAGGAATGGAAAGCCCAGAGCAGTGTTTCCTGCCTGGGAGTCATTAGAAACGCAGAGGCCAAAGCTGGAACAGGACTCAGGGACACATCAGAAACAGAGAAGTACAGAGAGGTACAAAAAAGGGTCACCATCACAGGAAATGTCAATCCTGAGCCAGACTATTCAGGGTCAAGCTTTTTTAATGACTTACAGGTTTGGAAAGGTAGACATGCTTGAAGTTCCATTTTAACTCACTTGCTTTTAGTGGCTATATTTAAACTCACCTGTCTTTTTGAAGTGGTGGATGGACTTGGATGTCTATGTTTAAAGTACAGTAAAGTTTAATTCAATTGCTTCTAAAATACTTTGGGTTGTGACCTGGAGTATGAATTGAAATATTTGTATCAGTAGTACGTCTAGTTGGGAATTGTAATTTTGACCTGATAAATATTTCAAATCTTTAATTATCAACACTGTCCATACAGTAAACTAATATAAAATATTTGAAATACTCATTGGCTGGAAAATTGTCATTAACTTTCCTAAACATCTATTTCTGCAAAATGTAGGTTAGAAGAAAATTAATGCTTGTGGATATACAATGTAAACTTGCATGATTCAGGTAGAGCTGACTTAATTCTTTATATGACCCTGGCGCCTATGGCCCAGCAGGTACTTTAATCATATGCTCTATCTTACAGGGTAGATTCTACTGTATTCAAATGCACCTTGTGACCACTAATTGGGCAAATTTTCATTACAAGAAAATAACCCCTAAAGCTTTTCCAAAAAACCCTCCAGGGGCTGGTTATAAAGTGAGTCACATTAATTCCTGTAAATAGCAAGCTAAAATCTTTACATGCTATTGGCATTAGCTGAAGGATGTCTGTCTTGCATTAAAAGAGAGTTAAAGAGTTTATGGACAGAAATGACAGATTCACTGGTGGTCTCGTATATATGTGTTTATGTGTTGGTAGTCACGGGTCAAATCAGGGAGACAAGGTTCACTGAAAACTGTGTTATTCCAAGTGCCTGATGTATTAGACCTCGATGGCAACAGCAGCTTTGTACACAAACTATTTTCTGTGCAAACTATGCCAAAAATCCCATTCCCACTGGCAATCAAGTTGTATAAAATAAACCATCAAAGACATCTACATGTGCTATTTGTCCAATCCAATGAGACGACAAGACCTTCCTGCCAAGACTGCAGACAAGTTTTTGTTGGATTAAGGCTGAAGTTGCTCAGAGATAAGGAAGTACGGCGCAGCCAAAATTACTCATTCTATCTAAACACGGGGAACATCATGTCCTCTGGGCCTGATGTTGTTCACTACCTTCTTATGTAAGCAGTGTCTATTCAAATCACTAAGAATGAGTGAAATTAACTGAATCAAATAACAAGGCATTGGGTCTAAGATTAGTCTAAAGCTGTAAAGTATCAGACTTAAATTGATACTGAATGTACAGTCAACAGTAGCATTTGCTCTGCAACTTACTTAATCACACTTGTGAGAATGAAGATTATGATACTATTTATTCAGCAAGGCATTGACTTTCTTTGATTTTCTATTGCCTATACTAAATGCCATTTCACAATGCAACAGCTATCAAACAACATAACTCTATCTACTAAACATAACTGATTTAAGTTCACTTTTTCTAACAGTATATAAAGCTTTGGGCTAAAAAGGAAGTACCAGTGAATAAAGTTGCCTTTGAGTGGAGAGTACATGCAGTATACGGGACACTATAACCGCGGGACTAAACTGACGGTGTGTCAAAGCATTTGCTGCGTTTGGGATGAGGACTATAATTACTGCCTCTCTAACTCAGCGGAGATCCCATGACCTGACTTAACCCACATTTACAGTCTCAAAATCAAGGCTAAGAAATTAATACAGCAAATGTGGCAAATGTCCTCAATATGGTGAAGAAATCCTCCATTTATCTCTGGTAATAAGGTGAAAAAGATCACATAATTTAGCTTGTGTCTAATCATTGAAACGTTAAATAAGTATTATTCATGAAGGTAGTAAGCACCAGTGACCACCACATGCACAAATCAAAACACATTCATAGACAATTCAATGCCACACAAAAGAGATACAGTAGAAGTGTCTTTCTCAAAAGTATTGATCTGCCGAATCCTTCCTCAAGACAACTTACACTGTAAACTTGATTGCCCGGACAAAGAGGTACATTTTCAAAGACAATTGTACATTTTGTCTTCTCTAAAAACACATGTTGAACCTCAGCCGTGCCACAGAGACAGAGAGAAGGTTTTGGGTCAGTTTTCATCCCAGATCATGACGTTTAGGTTAAGGTCCACTGCAGACCAACTCTTCCCACATCATTTGTTAGCATCTGTGGCTATGGCCGCTCTGCAATTACTGTAGCATTGAGGAGGAAGATCATGTGTTTGTCAATGCAAATGGAGCAGGGCATTTTAAGTTGAAGTCAAAGTATTACTAGTAGTACTATTGTATGAGAGTGAATATGAGCTCTCAAAGAGGTTAGTGGCAATGGCTTTTTAATTCAGACAAAATAATCACTTTTTTTCTTTTATACTGATGATCAATCCCATTTTCTGATTCAACCTTATTTTGTCATATTAGATTTTTTTTAAAATGCAATTGAATTTAACTCTGCTCCAAACCACATGATTCTACTGACTGAGGGCTGACTGTAGACTTCTCAATTAAAAAGATCCAAACCTGCACAACGAGACTGGATCAGGATTGTGGAGACTATTTCAAAGATGGAAAGAATAACATACAATCTTAAACTTAAAGGGTACAAATACAATGAGAAATGGGGAAAATGGAATGTATTCATCAATGACACCAGAAAAACAACATAGTGCACACAAATGTCAATATCAAATGCATGTTTAAATAAGAACCTGTAACTCCAGACTGTTGTTACAATGTTTTTAGATTTTATGTTGTTTTTGTATGTTTTGAAATGTTACTTAAAACCAATAAAAACATAGTTATAAAAAAAAAAAGATCCAAATGATAATACAGAGTAAGAGATTGCTCAATCTCAATCTTGATCTAACCCTTTATTACCACATAAATATAAGAAAACCATTTAAATGCCAACCTTTGTAAACTTGTGCTCCCTTAACCTCTTTAACCTTGGTCCTCTCACCTTTACCGCTGTAAGTCTAGCCCACTACAACTGCTCTGTCTGGCTCAGATTTCAGCCTCTCACTCAATAAACTCACACACAGACTACATTTTTACCTTTGCTCTCCTCAGGCTCCCCGATAGTGGCACCATGAGGTCAGTCTGTCTCTCCTTGCTGCTGGTGTCTGCCTGCTGGGCCTTGCCTTTCCGTCAGTCCGGGTTCTTGGACTTCATGATGGAGGATGAGCCTGGTTCTGGAGACCCAGAGGTCAAGGACCCTGGCCCCGGGCGGGGGTTCCCTGAGATGCCCTCAGGTCCCAAGTGCCCATTCAGATGTCAGTGTCACCTGAGAGTGGTCCAGTGCTCCGACCTGGGTAAGATAAGATAAGATGTACTGTAGATAAGACTACACATAATGGTAGCTGAAGCAGTCTTTGGATGAAGCTATAGCTACAAGGCAAGGTCACAAAATCAATTGAAGACATAGTTTAAAGATGATGACATTGTATTTTATCTTAAATTGAAAACGGTATATTTTGGTGTAATTAGGTCTATTACACCCTATGAAACTATTCAAATAAACAATACTACACCTGATGTACATGTTTTTAATTACATTACTGCCATATATTTAATTTTGCTGTGGGGGTCCATGGTTGTTGCATATTTTTGAGTCTTGGCTTCAAAAGTTTGGGAACATGACCTTCTCTAGATGTCTAATTTTGACAACAACAGAATTAGGATGTAAATAGCATTATGCATAATATTGTGCATGGGTTTTACTAGCAGCCTATTAGAGGAAATAGCACTAAGCACTTGCTTACAGTGTTGAGACATTAGGTCCTGTTCATTGGGTTTTACAGTGATACAGTAGATAGCATATTTTTTTAAATTCAAATGTACTATAAACTTTCATCAGATGCCTCAGCATGTTCCAGTTAGTACACTCATTACCAGTTCCCAATGTAAAGCTGACTCACCAGGTCAAAGAACTACAGTTAGACACAGTCTTACAGTCAAAACAGTTTACTGAAGTTTTGTCAGCTCTGTTTGGACCATATAGCCAGTGTTTGTCCAATCTGACTTAAAATGTAAGCCACATTTTGAGTTATTGCACAAACCTCGTCCGAAAAGTCCTGTTAGTCATATTAACTGGTATTTCTTGTTGACAGTTGTGCAACAAAGGGAACTTCAAATGGACAAGATGACTAAAATGTGTTAGTAATCAAAATGGTAGGTTTTTAGCGCAAATGTGCATTTTGCAGCTTTTTTGGTGGAGGGTCCGCTGCCTATTTGTGTCCATGGAGATGTTATTGTTTTGCCTGAAATGTTCCATGGTATGACATTTAACATATCCATCTAGCATTTGTTCATTGCTGGTGTTTCTATTGCTCAAAAACACAATAATTCCTTCAGAGAACAGGGGCGACTCTCCGCAGATCTGAAATGTAAAGTATAGTAGCGCTGTAACCTGCTTGTCTCCCTCATGATAGATCTATACTGTGGAACATTCCCCAGTTTATTTATAAGTTGAATATCAAAGAGTGGAGTGGCATTCCCATTCATGGTGAGAAAATGTGTTTTCCAAGTTTTTTTTTGAGCAACACAGTAATTGTAAGTGAATAATAAATATGAGACACATCATTCTAAGGCCATGCTTCACCTTTAGGGAGAAAAGCAGGGGGCTGACCCTCCAAAAGAAAAGTTGCATATTGCACCTTTAAACAATTTAGCTTGGCCAGAAAGATTACATAGACAGATTAGGGGTCACAGGCACATATGGACAACTACAGACAGGTGACATATCGTTCATACTGAAAGACCTCTTCCATTACCTCAGTGCTCAGTGAGCTGGAGCTCCACGGCTGGATTGTCCACATCTGCCTCTGCACTGTTGAACCGAAACTCCATCTGTTCCCCAGTCCTGTTGGCACGCACACAGTCAGACTCAGTCACTTTAAAGAATAAACATACATACTGTACTGTACTGATGTATGTGCTCATATGTGGACATGCACAAACAGGCCTGCCCGGAACAGTCTGCTCAGTATCTAATGGGGTTGACAACAAAAACTGATAGAGAAGACATTCCTGAAAATGTATAACTTTCATATCATGTAAGCATCAGAACTTAGTTGGAAAATATTAAGTTGAAGGGGATTCAAATTTCTGAGTGCAAGTCAGTGGCTTATAATGGTTTTCTCAAGGGGTCCCCAGGGTCTCTAGGCTGATTGAATAATAATGAGAGGTAACATGATAACTGCTGCTATGAAGTATTTTATAATTACTGTTCCACAACATGTTTTTAACCATAAAACTATTTTATTTGTCTTTATAAAACAGTCGTTTGTCAGGAAGGAAAAGGACCTTAGGGTCACCAGCGTATCTGGTTAAACTGGAATCGCTGGTAGTAAAAGGTTGGGGAAAAGATCTCATTTTGAAATGAAAATTACTAGGTGTGAGAAACTGAGCACTCTAGACGAACAAGAAGACAACTGATAAAACTGTATTACTGTAACTACTACTGCCATAAAACTGCACCATTAAAAAAAAATATTTAAAGGTGCATTGTGTAACTGTAACCGCTTTTCTCGATAAAGACATTATTGCTTTAACTGAAATGTTTCACGGTATGGTATTAAGCCTTCCTATCTTCATGGAGACCAAACCAGACAAAACTGTAGGTCAAATCTGTAGAGAGGTATCCCCACTCACAGTCAAAATACCTGTTTTTCTAAATATTTTTGAGCTATAAACCACCTGTAACTGAATGAATGTAGCTGTTTAATGTCATACTGTGGAACATTTCAGGCAGAGCATTGACATCCATGGAAAACAACCAGGAGAGGGACGCCCAATCCAAAAGTTACACAATGCATCTTTAATCTTTTGTTTTAATTCCATATGAAATATTCAGCATACAGTACAGTCATATTAAATAGGAGTCTTGTATTGAGTGAGTGCAGGGCTGTACAGTTGACGTAGATGATATGAAACCATGATGATGGCTCTGACCACAAACAGCTGTGGTGGTTTGAGGTTGTTCACTGCAAAACTGACTGGAAAAGCTGACAGAGGAGCTAACGTAGCTGCTGAAAACCCACTATGTCACTACCTTCATAAACGAAGTGTGTAGACGAGGAAGCACCTTTGTCAAACAGTTTATTTTATGCCTCTTCTTCTGAGATGAAAATTGCTATGAACCTTGGTGTCTTTTTTGGCACTGACAGGGATCCCTATAAGTGCATGAATATGACTTTTAACCAGTGTTTTTCATGGTTTGTTCAGTGTCCAATGTGTGTACTTTGGTGCTAACTTTGCAAAACCAAATGCTTACTGATGTAGGTGTACCAGTCTAGGACTAGAGTTTTGCTGAGTTGGCTTAGATTTGAATACCGTTATTAATCATACATGGTCTATTATGTGAAAAAGTTGTGCAAAAACATTATTCCATTCTTCCTTTCATTGTCTTATCTCTGGAGCTTACATACCAGCCTGCTCTAAAGTAAAGCGATAATTAAATGCAGCTTACAACTCCAGGCATGACTAATGATAGCAGAAGGAAGCCATTCTCTACCAATTTCCTTTTGAGGTTTGATTACCCAAGCATGGGCTATGAACACTAGTCCTTGTTGCCTTTTACATGATTTATTTATGTTCAGGTCTGAAGACAGTTCCTGAAGATATTCCAGATGATGCTACTCTACTGGACTTGCAGAACAACAAAATCACAGAGATCAAAGAAAATGACTTCAAAAATCTTAAAGGATTACATGTAAGATTTAAGTTTCCTTCTAAAAATCATACATCATCTGTCATATTATGTAAGTTTATGTGGTTACGCAACTTGTCTTCCGGTACTTATCCTCATTTTTCAAGTGGGTAATCAGGTGTAAAACCATTCAAAGCTATTTCAAAATAAGAGCTTTTTACTCAACTCTAAGTTTTGCTCAGGCAGAAAGATAAGCCCCAGTTAACCTCCTTCTCTGAGGTCCCGCTGGCGCAGAAGTATTCACTGGTCCCAGGTGCATGGAAACTATTCAGCTCCAGGCCCTCAAACTTACTGGTGGTTTTGTATTTGTAATAAATACCTCTGTCTGATGGTCTGGCCAGTTTCCACAGTTACATTACTGTCCTTTTGTGAGAAAAGAATTCCATACTTCACATTGTTTGCTGATGTACTCTCAATCTCAAATAAAAAACATGTTGGGCACATAAAGGTCATTTCACATCTCAACAGGATCAAGGGAAGGTTGCATTGGGAAAGGGCATCTGGTTTAAAAAAAGTTACTACATGTTTGGAGGGACAGGTCGTGCTGTGGAAACCCTGGAGAGACCTGTTGTGTTTTTTTCCTTGTAGGCTCTGATTCTGGTAAACAACAAAATCACAGTGATCCACGCCAAGGCCTTGTCCCCTCTGACCAAACTGCAGCGTCTGTATCTGTCTAAGAACATGCTGAAGGATGTGCCCACAAACATGCCCAAGAGCCTGCAGGAGCTCCGCATCCACGAGAACCAGATCACCAAGTTCAAAAAGGCCTCCTTCCAGGGCATGTCCCACATGATTGTCATGGGTATGAACTGATATTTCAAAGTGGATGCCATTGCTTGTATCGAAGTATTTATCAAGTAGTTACTAAAATTAGATTGCCCAAGAAACTTTTTACCAAACCACAGCATTTATGAAAACATCTGGAATTGTTCTGTTGCTCAATACCGTTGACTCATAACGTAGCTCAGTTGTCCCATAGAAAAATTTAACCATTCAGATTTGCATTGTCTTTCTTATCTTCTCTTGTTGTTTATGTGTAATTCTCTCTTTATCATGTTGTTTTTAGAGCTTGGCTCGAACCCTCTAAAGAGTGCTGGAGTGGAGCCCAATGCATTTGCAGACCTCAAACGAGTGTCCTACATTCGCATTGCAGATACAAACATCACAGAAATCCCCAAAGGTATAAAAGAGCCTTAATTATTGATTCATTATGGAAATTCTATATCCAATCACTCTAAGACAAAACAGTTTGAAGTTGATCCCTGTATATCCCAGGTCTGCCCAGCTCTCTGTCTGAACTGCACCTCGATGGAAACAAGATTACTAAAGTGACAGCAGACAGCCTCAAAGGCCTGAAGCAACTGGCCAAGTAATTATTATTTTTATTTTCATGACTTTCAAATAGTCTCACAGCTGAAGTTTTACAAGAATGATTTCCTTTAATAAACGTTTGTTTTTAATAGCTGTATATATAAAAACACTTACAGAGAAACCAGTGGGCATACGCGTCAATGATTTAGTCCTCATACATTTCTGTTGGTCTTTGCCAATTTTCCAGACTGGGCCTGAGCTACAATGAGATCAGCTCAGTGGAAAACGGCACTCTGGCCAACGTGCCCCACCTGCGAGAGCTGCACCTCGACAACAACGGTCTGACCAGTGTTCCCGCGGGCCTGCCTGACCACAAGTACATCCAGGTACATGCACTAGTGTACAAATACAGACAGTAGAAGCACTGAAAGCAAATCATCATAGTATACTGTGTGTTGGATCTGATTTGTCAAGTGTAAAATTACAATATTATAAAGGGGTTGAGAGTTCTCTTTGTGACTTTACAATGGAACATGCCATATCATTTACATTTTGGTGTTTAGTACTTTTCAGTAGTACATCTTTATCAAAGACATTTATTTGACTTTCTTGAACCACAAACTGGAGGTCTGTTATTATGCTGTTCTAGATGTTTTATTTGGTGAAACCTAACTTATCATTATTGCCATCTCACTCCTGGACTAAACATTGTGATTATGATAATCTCTTCTCTAGGTGGTCTACCTCCACTCCAACAAGATTGCCACTATTGGAACAGAGGACTTCTGCCCTCCTGGTTTCAACACAAAAAAGGCCATGTACTCTGGCATCAGTCTGTTCAGTAACCCTGTGTCTTACTGGGAGATCCAGCCAGTCACCTTCAGATGCGTCTTTGACCGCTCTGCCATCCAACTTGGCAACTACAGGCAACTACAGGAAGAAGTAGAGCCCTTGCCTCTGCAAGTGTAAATGAGAGTGCAAATGTTTTAAGAGTGTTTGACCACTGCACCAAAACTGACCCCAAATGTTGTCCACTGATGATGAAGTCATTATTAGACACACTGCACACAGCATAACGCTAACCATTCCAAACATATCATTTTTAGAAAATGTTAGTATGAATGTTCAGCTGTTAACTGATAAAACTAGCAATATTTTTGACATGTCCTCTGTTGTATTCTTTGTGAGAAGCCACACATAAGTAAACAGAATAAGAAGTACCTTGATTATTCCAGAGGGGATATTTCTTCTGAAGGGGCTTAAAACCACTCCATTGTCTATGATCACAAATGTAATGAAATGTTTAATACAACCTTTAAGAAATATGATGGAGAACCCACACCAAATGAGAGAATTTAAGTTGACCTGTAGAGCAGGCATCAAGGGCAGACATGTGTCTTTTAGAACTATACAAACTGGTCGAATGTAATGTTCCTGTGTAGAATTAACAATGTTGAGTATATTGTTGCACAATCTGAGCTGTATTGTCTCACCTGCAGATAAAATCCTATCATTATCATTTCTTGTGCTTACTTCAGCTGTTTTACTAGCCCTGTTATGAGTATGTTGTTCCATAAAACCATTTATAAACCATATACATTTTTGAAGTCATGCCCAAAGACTTTTTGCATGTTTGTATTTCCAACTTGTGTTGCATCGTTTAATGTCTGTTTGGTTTTGCCCTGTTGTTCCTCTTATACCAGTTCAGAGGTGGGACATGTGTAGACTGGTACGCCCATAGAACCTGCTTCTGGAGTGAATGTTGTATAGACGCTGTATATAAATGCTGTATGTGTATAAAACAAATCTCTCTTTTCTTAAAGGCACAAGCACTTACCATAGCTCAGACTAATATATCTCCAACAACGGTGTTCCTCTTTTTCTGGAGCAGGGGCTCCCATTAAGGTGTCCTTTGGAAAATAAAAATATTGATGTAAAAAGTAGCAGTTTATTGATTAATGTATTAATATATACAAATGTGTATACAAATATAAAAGGAGGCAGAGGTATGGATTGAAAAGGCAAATGTAATAAAAATACACATAAAAGTCTGGCATTTCAACTTCACAATTACCTGTGAAGTCATCAATCTCATTTTGACTTTTATCTGACCTCCTGTTTCTCATCACTGCTCTGCTGCAGATGTTTGAACACATGAATGACAGCTTCTATAGGATCAGACAGATTCTTGTGGTTCAGTGTTAGGACCAAAAATAGTCACTCAAAAACAGAAGGCGTTTGTAAGCTCTTCACGGTAAAAAAAAAAAAAAAATTAAAAGATGAATAATGATCATAAAAATGCATCAACAATGTATATGTATAAAAGGATATTTAATTTAAAGGCATTAGCAAACCATAACATCCAGGTGTTATTTTTTGCATAACTTCACATCATACAGTTTGTTGATCACAGGACACAAATACATCCTGTATAGAGCATATATATATATATATATATATATATATATATATATATATATATATATATATATATATGTATACATACACTAACATAACACTGACCAATAAGCACAAATAGTGCACTGAGCATATGTGAACCATCACTTTTGTTTGTGGGGAATAAACCTGAATTTATGGAATCAGTGATCAACAATGGAAGTCACTGCTTTCAACTATTGCAAAAAAAAAAAAAAAAAAAAAAAGCCTATGTAATAGCAGTCTGATACCAAACTTAGGCAAAATAAATAAGTATTTGCAGTATGCATTTGTGACTTTTTGCAATAGAATCCATCACTAATTTTTAAAATTATCCTTGAAATAAAAAGGCATCTTATCCCAGCATGAGCACAAACAAATGTGAAATATGATTGTTTCAAAACAAAGTATAAAGCTGTAAAGCAGTAAAGTGTCAATGGTCTTTCTCACTCCAACCTTTGCCCTATTGCTCAGTGAATGAAGCCCAGTTATCTGTCGCCCCCATGTGGTGACTGTATGCCTTATCTACTGTTGATTCCCTACCATAATGAAACAACAACTTTACTAGGTACAAACATCATACAGGTAGATTTTATTGTAATATTTTAACATCATATCTGTACATAGTAAATGTACATAGTAAACCTTGAGCAAACTAAATGTGAGCTCACAAAGTCAGTGACAAAAGAGAACAACTAACGTGAAAGCAAATGAATAAGATTTCTAAAACCACCAATTAAAAACTAAAGACAGTGTACACGCAAACCAAATCTGTAATGTACTGTATGTCACTCCTTACTTACTAATAATATTAACTGCAGCCCTCTCATTTTTACAGAACATGCTTAATTTATTCTATAATAATCAGCATGCAAAATATAAAAAAAAAACTAAAATTTGTAACTGGTAAGGACCAGACGGATGGTATATTCTTATGTGCAGCACATGGGAGTCCATGAGACAACATAAGGAGAGCTACCACATGGCCACGGCACGCAGACAACAGAAGGTGCTGTCTAAGGTGTTATCAAAGCCTCTGTGCGTGTGTGCCAAGGTGTCCCAAAATAACACTACTTGTTAATACACTTAATGCACTCCTGTAGGCGTCTGTAAGCATGTCGATATGGGTGTTTGTTTTTGATTTGATTTTTGATGCCAATTGTCTATACGAAATTGTGAAATGTTGAATCATATATCATTTATCTGTGTGTAGTTTTCAGAAGTCTCCCATACACAGAGAAGACATTCAGAGATATCCATGAGCATGAGCTGTACTACGTAAGTAATAACGCAATAGTCTCTTTGACACTGTGAACAATCTTCTCTATATTAACAGCACCAAAGTTATAAAAGACATCTCAATTCTCACTAGTGTTCTCTCTATTTTTCTCTGTCTATTGCTGAACATTGACAGTCCTGTTTTGATTGGCCGCAAGACAGGACACCACAAGAATTGCTGCATTATTTTTGTATGAATATAGTTTAATACAGCTTCAACTCTGTTGTTAGTGCACATTTGCTTGGTTAGCCTGTACTGTTTCAAGGCACCTAATTTTGGTAAGGCTAATGAGAAAAGGGTGTGCTGACCAAATGAAGGAGACATGTCTGGCAACAACATGAAATTTCATCTCATTAAAAAAAAAAAAAGAAAGAAAGAAAGAAAAGAAAAGAAACTCATAAAATGCCCCTAGATTGTGCACACATAAAAAAATTATGTTGGGGGATTTTCCTCCATGTGCTTATACTACTTGGAGAAAAATAAGCACTAGTGAGTTACATATCCTAAGAAGCTATAGTCAAAGCTGTGCTACAATGACAGCAACCATAAAATTACAATTTAGTTACAAAGTGGTGAATTGAAATTCATTCATGTATTATAAAACATAAATTATGTAGAAAAAAAAAAAAAAAAAGGTGGAATTTGTGTCGCATGCCACCCATAGACTGCTTCTGGTACCACACCATCAGAACAGCAGGTAAGGTGTCTTGGCTTTAAAGACAATATCTGCATTTGCCCCAAAAACAACTAAGTTGGTTCGAGCAATAATTCTAACTCTGCAAAGTCTTCTATTTTAGGGAATGGAAACATATTAAACGAGGCAAACATCCACACGTAAAGAGAAAAAATAGTACAACAGCAAAAATAGTACTTCAGTATTCCAGTCAATTCGTATGTGTCTGCAAAACACTTTACATCGATTCAAAACCCCCAAAACTATCCATCAAATGTGTTATTATTTTAAGGTTTTACCACCATCCATCCCTGTGTGTCCAGATCTTCTCAATGTGGAAGAAAAGGGGCTCAGCTAATGTACATTAGGAGCACAATGTGTATGGACCAGAAATCTTATCCAAGCACCAGCGTCAGTTCCAGAGAACATCTCCCAGTTTACCTGCACCACAAAAATGGAGATAAGTCAATGCTACAAACACTATGTAAGATAAAAGAAATATGACTCAAGTCCTTTATCTTAAAGTGTCTCAAACCAGCGTGGACTTAGATGGCTTATTAAGCATTGCTATTTGGAAGCTTGGGACACAACAACTTTAATTTCTACTAGTTTCATTTCATTTATTTTTCAGAAAAAAAACGTACAGTTACAAAATATTCAAATAGAGCTAGCTTTGAAACCTACTTTCTATTTGTTAAAAAAAAAAAGGTATAATTCACAGTGTTGATGAAGATTTGTGTGGGAACAGTAATGGTCAGTGTATTTTTTTTTGTGTTGAAGATGCTGACATAAAACTTCCCTTGGTGGAGCATTTAGTGTCTCAGGAGGAGCTCAGAGTAGAGCTGTTGCTTTGGAAGGAGCCAGATGAGTGGCTTGGAAATATATTTTGGAGGCATCCTGGATGGATCTCTGGGAGCACTATCATTTTTCAAAATATCTTCACAAGCTTATAATTTAGCACAATTTTCTTTACCAACAGACAACCCCTCATCACATAGCTGTGACCAATCAGGTCCAGGTGTCAAATCACAGAATGCTCTGACAATGTGATGTATGACCGTGATGCAGCATTTGGTGAGTCCTGCTCTCAAACTGTGTGCATCCAACGGGAGGTTAGGATCAGAAGAAATACCAACCTTTTGTTATGGAATCTTAAGTTTAAATCTGGAATGTACTTGGTTCCCCGGATCAGGTTTAATAAGTAACTTAATTTATAATGTAGGTATGATAAACCGTAGACTTGGTGCTTCTGTCTGCACAGTATAAAAACAACTCTTAGCATTTGTTACATAAGATGTCTGTGCTTGCCTTATTTGTCAGATTTTCCAAATCCAATCCTCCATTATTTTTTTCCTTTATTGACAGAAGCAGTGACTGTGTTCAATAGAAGCCAGGATTTTTGTTCTCATTTTTCCACATGTAGTCAACCGGTTTGAATCACTAGTTTCAGAACTTTTTTTGTACTTAAAGTTTGTTACCAGACATTACGACATGTTAAATGAATAAAGATGTCATCAGCATCTGATCCATCCCCTGAACTGCCTTTTTCCTTCTGTCTCTCCATCAGCACTCTCTCTCCTCCCCTTTCTCCTCTCCCCTGTGTTTTTCTCTAGAGATTTTGAGCTTTTAAACTACAGTTTTCTTTTCTACTGGCCTTCCACCCTGTGCACACCAAGAGACTAAAGAATAGGTAAGATTTCTTTGTCATTTATATTTAAACATTTAGCTTTAGCATGTTTAATGTGCATATTTAACTTCATGCAGGATGCATGAATTCTGAAGTGATGTATTGTAACAGACAGAGCAGTGATGTACTTTGGCTATAAAGGCTATCAAATATATATTGTGTGCAAACTGCTCAGTTCAAAAGAGGATAATAAGTTAATATTAAAGTAATGCACATCGATCACATGGATTTGTATAGCATTAAACAACAACAACCCTTCTGTTTGAATGCAAATGTTTTTAAATCCATTTATTTTAATGGTGTGAAAGATATGCATGTGCACTGGGGAAACAATAGGCGAATATGGGGTTATGTAATGTTGTCTAGATGCAGACTTATACAAGGGGTCAGGTCAATGATGCCCTTTAGAACTGACTTAAATGCATGTTTGCATAATTTTATATTGTGTTTAATTTATTGGCAAGCACTTTGTTCACCTTGTATCTAGTAAAGGGATTAAAAGCAGGAATGAACCCTGGGCACATGGACCTTAGTTTACATTTGAAATGTAAAAAAATGTTCCTAATTTTCCCTCTTTTTTTTATCTAGTTTCTGTTGGCAGGCATCATGTTATCGCTTCGCGTTTCTCTTCTGGCCATATTGGTAGGCATGGCCCTTTGCCAATATTATGAAGATGAATACGAGTTTGCTGCACAAGTTCAGCCCCCCAGTCCCAAATGTAACCAGGAATGTGACTGTCCTATAAACTTCCGCACTGCCATGTACTGTGACAGTCGCAATCTGAAATTTGTGCCTATAGTTCCCACTGGAATTCAGTACTTGTACCTTCAGGACAATGGAATTGAAGAAATAAAGAAAGGAGTTTTTGATAATGTCACAGACACTCTACGTTGGCTAGTACTGGATAATAACAATCTAACCAATGCTAAAATAGAAAAGGGCACTATTGATAAGCTTACAGCCCTGGAGAAGCTGTACTTTAGCAACAACTTAATCACTGAGCCCATCATTCCTCCCTCCAAATTTCTGGATGAACTGAAGATGATGCACAACAAGTTGACCAAATTCCCAGGTGGACTTTTGACAGACAAGGAGAATTTGACATTAATCAACCTTCAGTATAATGAGCTAACTTCAGAAAGTATTGCAGGGGCTTTTAAAGGGCCGAAGAAGCTGCTGGCACTTGATGTGAGCCACAACAAGCTGAAGAAACTCCCGGCCGGAGTGCCCAGTTCACTGGAAATGCTCTACGCTGATTACAATGATATAGAGAGTATTGGAGCCGGGTATCTGAACAAGCTGCCCGCTCTGCAGTATCTGCGGTTGTCCCACAATAAGCTCAAGGACTCAGGTATTCCTGCAGGAGTCTTCAATGTGACAACACTGGTGGAGCTGGACCTGTCCTTCAACAAACTGCAGTCCATCCCTGAGATCAATGAGGGTCTGGAGCAGTTGTACCTGCAGGCCAATGAGATCACCAGTGAGTGGCTAGGTCATGCACATGTGTCACTATCAATAATACTCAAAATGAACCCTTTTCTTTTACTCTTTCAGAGTTTGAGCTGACCAGCTTTTGCAAGCATATTTCTCCCCTCAACTATTCTCGCCTGAAGCATCTGCGTCTGGACGGCAACAACATCACCCACAGCAGCATGCCTCCAGAATACTCCAACTGCCTGCGCCAGGCCTCAGACATCATGTTTGAGTGATAGCACTATAAAGAAGTTCTGGCACTTATGAGCACCGTCTGCTCTGCAGAACAGCTCATACCAGCCCGGATCAAAGGCACAACAAATATCAACATTTCTTTTAACTTTCACTTAAAGCATTTGAGAGAAAATAAACAAACTGAAAACAGTCAGGTTCATTCTTGAATAATAGTTATTAGCAGTTTTCCTTTTTTATGTTTTAATTTTTATTATTATTATTATTTTAATTTTTTTTTGGTATTTTAGAAAATCAGTGCTTCACTCACACACTTTAAGCATTCCATGTATTAGACAGTGAATCTACTGTTTGTGATGTGCATTTTTGAGTTTTGTTGTTGTGTGCATTTACATGTTTAGCATGTATAAACTGGAAATATGCTAATCCATTGCTGTGCAAAGGAGCAGCAAAAAGGACTGCATCCTGATTTAAGTATATATGATCCTTTTTTTTTATATATAAAAAAAAATATATATATATATATATATATATATATATATCTTGTTCTGTAGCTGATTAACCCTGCTATCATTAGTTTTAAGGGCATGCTGAATAATCTGACTTGAATAATATGAATACTCCTATACAAATCAAAATAGCATGACAGGAAAAGGTAAACCTTCAGTCATACATTACATATCTTAAATACCAGCTACTACATCCTGTTAATTATTATGTGTATAAAGTTGCTTGCATGGTTTCAAAAACAGTTTTGTTCTTGTATTGCTATTTTGCATAATAGGTTTTCTCCACACGTGAAGTAACACAATATAGTTACCTTTTTTTCTAAGTGCGTGGTTTATGCAAGACATTGTAATATTACATCTTCAAATTATAGAACCCCAAGACAAAACAGATTGTAATTTGTTAATGAGTTGGACATAAATAAATAAAGCCTTGATTACATGTTTGTTTAGTTATGTGGGGATAATTAGATATAATTGAATCTAAGATAACATTTCTGTGGTTTTTCAGTGCACAGACACCAACTCATAGGTCAGAATGTTCTATGCTTAACATATTACAGTTGTGTCCCAGGGCAAGAGACTTTCATCCACTTTGCCTGTGTTGAGTGATTGGTGGTGGCCAATGGGGGTACATCGTGCAGGGATTTAACTCAAATCTAGTCTGGATGACAGCAATTTCTGCTTTACATTCGTAACAATAGTAGTGTAAAATGATTCAATGATGCAGTTAAATTTAAACCCCACATTATTATTTAAGTGGAAGATAATATACCAAAATAATAGATGCCTTCATTGGACTGCATTTGTGCCTTCCTCGGTGGGTATTAATCACTTACCAGTAACATGCTTTTCTTACGGGGGCAAAATGCTGCTCCCTTATGTGGTAAATCACCATTAAAGATGGTCTACGTAAAGTTAAAATATGGGTTAATTTAGATTAAGGTTAGGTATTTAGTAGGCTTATTATTTTAGTTTAGGATCAGTCTCCAGGAAATTATTGTAATATCCCCAAACAGCATGGAAACACAAATGCATGTTGCCATTAAAACTAAATTAAAAACTATATATTATAAATCACAAAAATCCTTGATGAGCAAGTGTGTTCTTATATTGTACGACACACATGTACAGTATGTCCTCATTTACAGAAGTTAATACTAAGTCCACCCCAGTTGATTTGGTTAAGATACATTATTACTAGATTATTCAAACAGAAGTGCTAAAGCGGGATCAGTTCAGCTGGGTCATTTTAAAATGTATCACATGCTAAAGGCCTATGGAGCAAAGATGCTGAATCAAGGATGTGCTGTGCTGATTTCATAAACTGAAATGCAGCTGTGTGCATTTACATGGAGAGCAACAAAAAGTACAGCTACCCAATCTCCTCCTCTTCATCCCAGGTGAGAGCAGGCACTTCACACTTTCATACGCATGCACGCATGTGCATGCACGCACGCGCACGCACGCACACGCACACAGACATGTAGATGCTCTTCATGAGCCATAATAAGGGCTAATTGACTAAATATCTAGGCTATAGTTTCTACTGAGATAGCTTCCATGTGTAGTGGTTCATTTCTGTTAATTTGAGCCACTTGGAATAATAGGTTTGACCCAGTTATGAAAGACTAAACGTGAAAAATATTTAACGTGCCATTTAAGATTAATTAAATCAAAACCTTCTAAAACAAGCCTTGCCTATAGAGAAACGTGTAGTCTGTTTGTTTTAATTGTTAATTAGGCAGTTCACATGTTTTTGTTCTGTCATTGTACCAGCTCCAAATCCTGTACAATTTCCTCTTTTCCTCACGACTCAAGTCTCCTTTATTTGAATCCATGCTGAAGCTGCAGCCTGGACAGTAAATCCCTTCATAAAGCCTGAGGCCCATCTACAAAGTCAAGCTGATGGCCAAATGTTGAAAAGGTGTCGCTTTCAACATAATCACACTTTAACATATTATTTTACATTTGGTTTTACAGCCTGTTAGTCTTAAGAATTTCCTGCTTTGAAAACCCAGCCACAATATGCACAAAGAGAAAAAAACATTTGTCAGTGCTCTACAAAAACAACCAGACTGATATCAGAGTAGACTTTTTTGTGTGCAAAGGCATACATTTGGTGAATACTTGTCCCTCAAGAAGTTGTCAAGTCATCAAGTTAATATTTATAATTTATAACCAGGTGAAAGGCCTTAAAGCCATGCTTCCACCACACCTGCAGCCTTCAGGCCTACAAGTCAAGATGACCCATAAAATCCTCAAGAACCCATCCCCCTGAGCCATCTTCCACTCAAGAGCAAATGGTTTACAAAGGTTGGTGAGACTGACTGTTAGCCCCAGCTGGTGACTTTCTTCTGCAAAGGGGACCAAACAGAAAGAAGCAGAAACAGAAAAGTGCTGGGTTGGGAGAAGACAACACACAGGACGAAATCAAAGTCGTCCTCCCACAAGAACAAAAGAGTGACCGTCCGAGGGCTCTGGAGGACCAAATCCATATTGGGAGATAGACATAGAGGAAGAGAGGAGATAGCAAACTGCACCTGTCTACTGGAGAAGACTAAAGTGGTAGGTACCTAATATTGTTACTCTATCATACATGTAAATGGAGCTAAGCTATTGTTTGTCTCTTACAAAATTCATATTCTACAAATTCAGAATTATAAACCACCAAATTATTCACTTGTTTGATTATGGATTAACAGTATATAGCCCAAATAATCAGACATTAGAGATACAAAAAAAAAAAAAACTAAACAAAAAAACCCCGAAGATTTCATAATATCGAAAGCTAAAAACTTTCCAGCTCTTAATACTTACACTCAACTCATATGAAAGCATTTGATGGTATACTTTTTTTACTGTTTTAATTTTGTTGCATTGTTGTGTATTCTTGTAAATTCATATACAGCATAGGCAGAACATCAAAAGGCTATTACACTACTGACATTATTCATTAAGATTATTTAAAATTACAGTGAGTGTTGGAGAGAGATCGTGAGGGACAGATCTTGGCAAAAATGGGCAGAGCTATAACAGGCTTGTCTGGCTCATCAGGGCTAAGTGGTTCCTCTAACCTCACACAACTGGGCTGGGATTATCCCTCCACATATAACAGACTTCCGTCAGCACTACTAATGAGCGCAATCTCAGGGTGCAAAATAAAAGGTCATGGCAACACTTGACCTCTGCACCACACTACTCTCTAAACAAAACACAAATGGATGCTATATCATTTAAAAAGGATGTCAGACTAATAAAAAGTTCATCTCCTCCAACTTTGAGATCTGCAGCAGTAAAATTACATAAGTATACATTTCTGTCATGGGGCATCGTTTTAAGTTCTTTGGAAATACACTGATGTCTAATAAGCCTGCATCAACTGAACACATGGATAGAGAGCTCCTTACATTGCAATGCATTTTACTTGGCAGACAAATTTAAATTAACTATGGGCAAACATAAGACATAAAACAGCTCAATGGTCAGCACAGGACTCCAGGGGATTTGTGAGATGCATTAAGAGATCTTAAATGAACTGTACTAGTATGTAGCCTGCGCTTTTACCAATAAAAAGTGCTGAAACCTGCAGACAGACTTAGTATATGGATAGGCCGTGTCTCGTGAAAATTCAGAACCTCCAGAATTCACTCACTGAGCTTGCAGAGGCTGCACTAGCACTGTCTAATGATTGAGGTGCTGTGATTTAGGGAAATGATCAGGATCAGTGAGGACCAGATCCTTTTTGGTTTAAACCAACTTGATTTCAGCATTGACACTGGCAACCTAAATGAGAGACTCATGTGAGGCTCATTCTTCTTTCTGATGGAATAATTGTCTAGAGAACCAAAGCACTAAATAATAAAATGAACAATTGGTTATCATGGCCATTGTTTTTTGCAATTAAAAATAAATCATCATTATAATTGTTATAAGCAAAATGTATATTTGATTTGAACATATCTCCCTCATATCTGGGGACACAGATAAGTCCAGCTGATAAAATCTATAGTTCAATATAGCTTGTTGTTAAGTAGGCCGGGCTAGAGGATTAATACTCTCCAATGCCAAGGGGCGTTAACCTTTGATCTGGTCAAAACCTAATTGACCAAAAGCAGCTTTGGTGTCATGTCATGTGATGGGATAACAAACTATGAATGAAGGCTGGGGGTATAAATACAAGTGGAGATAGACGAGTAGATCCTTTGAGACTACACTCGGAGATCTCAGAAATATAAAGAGAAGAACTGACTCTCAGTTATCAAGATTAAGGTATGTTAATCATAATAATGCAACCGGTAGTGCTTTTAATCTGTGAATATTATTATTATATATTAGGTGGTGTCAGTTCAGATGGCAGGTCTAGGCGGTGTGGAAGAATACTGAAAAGACAGGTGTATCAGGTTTATCTTTGAAACACATCCATCCACGGGAAAGTCTGACCAGAAATGAGTTCCAGACAAATGGTTTTGGATGTTTCAACAATTTAAAGCAGCTTCAGATGTTAGCAGTGAAAAGTAGAAACTTATCAAACTTGTCAACACTAAATGATCTACAAAATATTCTATGTTATGAGCCTTTTTATGTTCTCCTGCTTTATCTTCAGTAAGTATTTCTTTTGAGATTACACAATTAAATGACTAGTTAAAAGAAAAGATTAATGATCTAACAGTAATGGCTCTAAACTCATAAATTGAAAATATATTTATGTGATCAAGAATTTGCCTTGTCAGATCCAGCACCTACATTTCTTTTACCATTGTAAAGTAACTTGGAGTACTGAAAAGTTGACAGCATGTCAGTCTGCCTGGCCTAATTCCCCAAAGTCCTAATTCAGCTGATTATCACTGTCCTACTTCACTCCAGGGGGTGGCAACATCATAATTCTTTGACCTGTCTATAAATCACTAATGTAGGCTTGCCTTTCCCCTGTCTCTTTGTCTAAGTTGTTTTTATTTCTGCAGGTAAACGCCACAAAATGGAGATTCCTACGAGCACCATGTTCATCCTGTGTCTGTTTGGGTCTGTCCTCAGCCAGGACATGTCCTACGAGGACACAATGGCCCAGCTTCAGGCCTGTCCCAAAGAGTGTCGCTGCCCACGGGACTTTCCTCGAGCTGTCTACTGTGACAACAAAGGCCTCACCACTATCCCTAATATCCCTCCTCACACATGGTACCTTTATCTCCAGAATAATAACATCGAGGTACTTTCTGCTGATGCCCTGCGTAATGCCACACAGCTGCGTTGGCTGAACCTGAACCGAAACAAAATCACCAGTAATGGAGTAGAGCAGGGCGTGCTGGGCACACTGTCCCACCTGGCACACCTGTACATGGAAGACAACCTGCTGTCCTCTGTGCCTTCTCCATTGCCACCCAGTGTTGAACATCTTCGTCTGTCTCGCAACCGGATTTCCAAAATCCCTGCAGGTATTTTCTCTGGTCTGAACAGTCTCAGCCTCCTGGATCTTCAAAGCAACAAGCTAATGGATGATGCAGTCACAGAGGTCAGTCTAAAAGGTCTAACTAACTTGGTTCAGATCAACCTTGCCAAAAATCAATTGACCAATATGCCTATTGGACTACCACCTACCACAACACAACTCTTCTTAGATGGCAACAACATTGACAAAATTCCAGCAGATTATTTCAAAGGTCTGCCAAAGATGGCCTTTATCAGGCTCAACTACAACAAACTCGCCAGCAGTGGAGTTCCAAAAGATGTCTTCAATGTCTCCAGTATTTTGGACCTACAGCTGTCCCACAACCAGCTGACCGAAGTGCCACTCATCCCTTCTGGCCTTGAACACCTGTACCTGGACCATAACAAAATCTCAAGTAAGCCTGAAACCTTTCTTATCTTCACGTAGTTATTTATGCAAATATGTCTACAATATGTAATACAACATTTTGTGCTGCTTAGTTTACATATTTATACTTACATTTATATATGTTGTTGTTTTGCAGCTGTGAGTAGCTCTGGTGTGTGTCCAGACTCTGCAGATGTAAAGGACGACACAAATGAAAGTGGGCCTCGTCTGCGCTATCTCCGACTAGACGGCAATGAGATCAAACCCCCTATTCCCAGTGACATCATCTCATGCTTCCGCCTCCTCACATCCATCATCATCTGAAATGATTTTCAAAAGGATTGTCTAACAAAATACTGTGCCTACTACCTGTGCCTTATGCAAGTTGACATGTGGATGGCTTTCCTAAAAGAGGATATATTGTTGCATGTTTTTAGGTTATCCAGAGAAGACTTCATTGTGTTTTTGCTTATTTGTTTGTTTATTTGTTTGTTTGTTTTTTGGAGAACCTGGAAAATTCTATTTGTGTCTATAATAAACTATTTGAGATCTATGGTATTTCTCTCTTCATATAAGGGGAAGCAAACATTTTGTGTATATTTAATGTATATATTATGATTATTTACTATGTAAACATTTTACATCTAAAAATGCATATGCCAGTACATCAAATCTTTAATAAATGTGTTACAATGTGAAACAATTGGTCTTTTGATTATTTATCACAGAATTTGGGCCCAACAGTTAAACAATCTTTAAATTCCAGCACAGTCAAACATGAGGCCTAGTTTCAGCACAACTGGCTTTAGTATCAGTGAATGAGTTGAAATGTAAAGCAGATAGCTGACCCAGTTTGTTGCAGGTGCAGAGTATTTTCTGCCACTCACACTGGACTTTTGTCTCTGCCCTCATCAAAAGCTCTTAGGTTACCATGGGAGTGAGAGGCAGCAACACAAGGCTGACAGCAGTGTGAGCTCAAGAGCGTTTTCATTCATAAAAAAACAAAGTTCTATCTTTACATCATTTGTCTTGGGTCTCACTTACAACTGAACCCAGATCAGTTAAGAACATCCATTTACCAAGGGATGGGGCAATGAGAAGTCAAGTTCAACCAAACTGGGACTTCCTGTCAGGTCCATGCTAACAGCAGCTCTCACAGAGGTCCCATTGTGCAGCAGCCCCTGTAGATCCCCCCTATACATGAAAGTAACACATGCCAGAGTTTCACCTCAGGAAAAGGCGGACAAATATTTTAGTCTGATTGAGCCTTACAAAAATAAGGTCTCCTCTTGTAAAGGATAATAAGGTGTTAAACTACGGAGGGGTATGGTGTTTTCCTGTGTCTTAAGTACATCACTGAAGGCTTTGGGGTGGGGGCATTAGTGACCAAAAGCGATGAGCTCCAGTCCAGTCGGTCTCAGTGCCTACCGTCACTCATAAGAGGCAGGGCACTCAGGTCGACCATAGACCTCCACACACACACACACACCTTGACGCTGCTGTGTGCCTCAGCCCATACACGCCCTCCCTCCTGTGGGCACCCTGAGCGACCCCTCACCATTGGCCAAGTCCCGGAGCCCTCAGCATCTCCATCACGGCTGGAGGGACCATTCGGGAAAGCAGGAGACTGAGGTAAGCCTTCACTGCTATCTTCATTCTGCTTCAATGGTGATTAAGAAAACAGATGGGCTCAGGTGACCTCCCAGAAAACTATAGAGACTGTGCATGGAGAAAGGTTGACTAATTGGTTAGTGAAGAAGGAGCATTATTTCACTCAGAGATTACAGGTTTCCCAAAGTGGATATTTTGTTGAGACATTACCTTCAGAAAGACTTGGCTTGGATTTGGAGATAACAGTTTGGGATTTTTTGGATTACTCAATATTGCAGATGTCATATGTTCATTTTTAAATCACACACATGAAACTTAATTGGCAAAAAAAAGCCCCAAAAACATATATTTATTAATTAATTAGCCAGTCCCTTTTTTGTGATAGTTCATTTTTGATACAAATATAGCAGTTTGTTTTGCATCCATACCCATGGGACTGTCCCCAGGTTTGCCAGTGGTTTTTGAGGGAAATGGGTAGAATCAGCAGATATCAGGAATGCCCGCAGCGAAGCCAAGCATAACACAGGGCCAGTCTGAAGGCTACACTCATCCACATATACACAGTTTCCACTGTACACTGATGACCAGAGCTAAAGCACACCTCTGTCTGCAGATAGGGTTTCATTCACAGTAGTGATGCTGGGTTTTATGCTTAAACTAAAATAATCAGAATTACCCTTTCAAGGGAATACTACATAAATCTGACTGGTTGTGAACTTTATTTCTAATCTCTGCATAGCAACAAATATAAGATTAGTGTTTGAAATTAGCTGCTATGCTATATTTTATTTTAAAACTCTGCCTAAAATAGAAGTGGAGGTTTCTCTTATTTTGTGTGTGTGAATGATAGGTGTGTGCAAACAGAGCATACATCTGTGAGGTGTCTCTGCCAGTGTGTGTCTGTGTTTGTGTTAGAGCTCCGTGCTGCTCAAAGAAGCTTTTCCTTGCAGCTGTAACTCACTGCCATCCTGTCCACAAACCTCGGTGGAATTTGGAGTTTGAGTGCTGAGACAGGCACTGACCGGGCCTCATAAAGGGCCTCTGTGAAGGCTGAGGGGTTGAGTTAGCACTCCTAGCTCCCTGGTAACATCGTACCTGCAGTTCTCCTCACTCTCTCCATGCAACCTTGAGCGCCAGCATCTGAGCTATATGCATCTCCATAACTTATTGCAGATCTGATATTATCTTTGCTGACAGAATCTATCAAATTAGCTTATAGAATGAATCATCATCAATTACAGTTTACTGAGTTAATTTGTGTTGTGGGATGTCCCATGCCCAGATTTGTTTACTGATTTGTTGAGTTGTCAACGGCTTAACTGATGGTTATAAAGGAAGGCCTTGGAAGCTACCACATAAACTATTAAAGCAGCATACCTACATGAGCTGACAGTCAAGTTAAAAGTTCCTTCAAACCATAATTCTTTATCAGATCAGTTTTGACCCACGACCTTTGACCACAACAGTACTGATTTGTGGTTCACAGTGGGCCTTTAGCAGCAGTGAAGGGGGCTCTCATTTCACTGCCTCCAGCTGTCTGCACCAAACTAATGAATTCAGACACTAGTGATGTCACGCAGTGAAGTTCAGATATAATGGCCTATATGTGATACCGCTGATTCATAATCCACCCAAACTCAGTGTTTGAAGCTATACACTTCTATATAAGCTATATACTGCTATGACCTTTACCCTACAGTGTTTCACAGACACAGTAGACACAGTTTATAATGACATATCACAAGGCATTTTAACTGTTTTCTCTGCTGGTTCAAGGTGGACTATGAGGATGCTCGCACGGTTGTTGTTGGGACTCCTTGTCCTCAAAGCAGCAGTGGCCAGCCCAAGATTTTCCCGACAAACAGACTTGGATTATGACACAGAGAATGGAGAATATGACTATGAACTTACCACCAATCTGCCGGTAAGAAACTGAACCACTCTGTCCTTCTTAGCATCATCAGACAACATACGCAGACTAGACGTAGCTGTTGTGTCATACGGTTTGTGTTGTGTGCATTTGACGTGGTGATGTTGTATGACTCTAGAAATACTAGATTAGAAAAGAAAGAAGCATTTTGCACTATTGTTGTATTCCGTGTTTAATATTATTTGTACTATTTTATGTCCAGGATGGATTTGACTCAGAAGCATCATATACATGTGACAAATTTCATGCGTACAGAAATTAAAAAAAATTCAAAATCCACTGTAAAAATTATCTGCTATTTTTCATCTATATTGGTAAAGGACACATATTATGCAAATGTGACTTTTTTCAGCTTTTAACCATGTTTAACCAAATTGTTGTCCCCTCATGTCAAAAACATACCTAGTGTTGTTTTTTGTTTCATTCATAGTTTTTTCGTCCATTAATCCAAAAATAAGCACTCAAAAGTGCTCAGTTTTGCATTTTATCCAGATTGTTGAGTCACAGGGAAAAAACTGACTTCTCCTGCACAGTTTTTATAACAATATACCAACCTACAAACCATCACCAGAATTGGTCTGCGTTCAAATTATGCTTACAACAAATGCATTACTTTATTAGCAGAGCATTCATGCGACCTAAAGGCTTCATTTGTTTAGTTACCCATTGTGCAATCCCGTTGTTGAAAGAAGAGAGAGCTCTAATGCCTATATGCTTCATTGGAAACTGAGGTGTAGTTTATAAAATGTATTTTCCAAATTAAATCACTGTAAATGCGAAAATGTGAAATACTAATCCCAAGGTGACCAAAAGCATGTTTAAAGGGGAATTAACGCCACAAGAATGAATTATGTGCGTGTTTTTTAAGACATGCTCTGTGCAACATTTAATTGACTAAGGAGGGACGTGGTATGGAGTTGGCATAACATCATCATGATTAGCCTCTCACACAAAAAAACTGTGTGTACAGAGAAGTACTACTGAACAGCATCTCCATAAAATATTAAACTGTCTGGTCACTCCCAACAACTCCAGATGAACTCCAAGCCCTCTCCTTCCTACTCTTGTCCACATAAATCCTGAATTCAAATAAATCCCGACCAATTAATTGACTACACAACTGCAGAAGGTTACCCCTATAATCTATTGATCAGACAAAAGTAAATTTCTGGTGTAGAATCTGAAAGATCTGGCTAGTTGCTTTGGATCCAAACACATTTTCCAAAGTGCTCTTCTAGTAAATAGCAGTTACACTGGCCCATGAAAAACATTCCTAAGATATCATGAAATTCATGTTACTTAAGGACCAGTCAATGCGAGTCAACAAGAAGTTATTCGTTAAACACTTATTACTCATTATTACTGACACAATCTTATACTCACTAGATGGCCATAGACACATAAGCATAGTATTTGCTTGTGCCAGGTTAATTTTGATAACGTATATGGGCACACAAACAGTAAATTAGGACTGGACAATATGACATATTGATGAATCATAATTTTAAAAATTACTTCCAACATTCCTTTCTTGAACATTAACAAGACAGATCAGTGTGATTTAGCACAAAAATAATCCCTATTGAATCCTTCAAAGTCTGAACTGTGCTCCAAACCACACGCTTTTACAAGTAACCAAGTTGATCAGTGACGATTAGAAATCACAGAAACCCATCTCGAAAAAAATAAATTCATTAATTAATTGCAGAGTGCTGGTAAAAATATAAATTTGGTCCACCACAAGAAATTTAATATGCAATATGCCGATTATTTTGATAGACCAGCCAAGAAAGGTGGTCACTTTCCAGTGTCTACAGCTAGTTGTAAAGTTACTGGGATGGGATTATACACCAGTAACTCTTAACTAGAAATAAATACAGGAACTTTCTATCAGTTTGTAATTCCACTTGCTATTTTGGAGAAATTGTGATATTTGGCTACACCATGGTGCCATGCAGAGTATGTTTAAATGGCCTATGTTGTGTTGAGGGAGAGGGTGTGTGTGTGTGTGTGTGCGTGTGTGTATATATATTGTTTGATTATATATAATATGATTATGTATGTTCTAAATAGTTTTTATGAATACCAGGCTTTATTTGTATTACTTTAATGATTTTTATTATTTTAAATACCCTTGTTCTGCTATGCTACTCTATAATGGATCACAGCAGTTGAACCTTTCTGCTTCCAATATTACTTCTTTGTAGATTTGACTAAATCTGACTTCAACAATCTCTCTAGTTTGTATTATTGTGCTCCAGAGCAGTAGTTTGCACCACATGGACTGAGAGTTCTCAAGGGATTTTGGCTGTGGCTTCGATAGAACCAACCTGATTTAGAAGTCTGGATTGGGGTTTGCTCATTAAACAAGATTTTGGTGGGGAAAAAAAGAGAAATCAGACAATTAGAATAACTTATGCTCGTCATCCTGTCTGCACTCAATAATTACAGTTTTGGAAAATCAAATGGATGTAGTTTAGTTTTGTTGACAAAATAGTTAAAGGTAAGAGCTAAAAAGTGAGACTGTTTTGTTTCACAGATAGAAAAGTCTACTGAACAAAGAATGAAATAGCACACTTATTGTAGAGTAATTATACATTCTCATTCACTGTTTTTTTTTTTTGTTTTTTTTTCTCAGGAGGAGTTTTGAAAGGATTAAAGACTCACGTGCTATGTAATCCAAGCTAATTGCACAGCACACATTTACCACAGTTTCAACCCTAGACTACAGACTAAACTGCAGAACTGCTTAGTTCGTCATCTGTGTAGCCAAAGTAAATTCATTCCGGCCAGTTTATGCATTTTGCTAAAAACTCTAATCTTTTCATTGCAATGTTGCATTTGTTTTGGTGTTATAGACTCATTGTTTGAAAATGTAGATGGCCTAATTTGTTTAACTGTTTTGTTCCACAATCGAGTGAATGAATACAGCCTCATGCCTTTCCTATAATCCTTTGATTTATTATAGCTGCCAACATTGACTTGGGAAGAAAAAATGCCCATATAGAGTTGATGGGGCAGTTGGTTGTAAATAAATGCAAATTACTGATTATAACCTTGATGACTCTTCTGTGTAAGATGTTTTAAGAGTATAGACTGATACAAAATTACTTTCATTTGATACTTCGGGGTCCACTGCTCTCAGTCCAAGGCTGTGCTTGCTGGTTGCACAGCGTTTGCCCCATTTTCCCATGGGTGTATATGTTTGCTTTAGGGAAGAGGGAAATGAAGGGTAGTGCTGCAGCAAGCTAACTGTGTGCACGTTTTTCAAAGAGCCACCTTGTTGTATCTCAAACTGCGTCTGTACCTGCATCTAAATGTGTCTCTTACTTACTTAAGATAGTTTAATGTTAGTTTATTGCATATGCGTGTTTTGTTTATACATAAATACGTAGAGAACATTGAGAGTGTAAATTGTATGCCTTGAATTTGACTATTTCCTTAATAAAATGTGCAATAGGACTAAAAAGTATGTTCAGCAGTCACCATGTGTGTCTTGGATCCACAAGGACCATTCATTTTTGGAGCATGGTGTCAGTATTGACTGAGAGTCGCAGGTAATACCTGTAATGGTGAATGGGGCTGTATTGCCCTCATCTGGTCTATAATGGAACTACACTAATGCTGGCTGTCAATCCGATTGGCTTTTGTGAAAACTACCAGATTTTTTTCTCCTCTGTGTGGCTTCTAACTCTTTGTATATGTATATCAAGTGTGTGTTAATATCATTGGTGTCTAGTATTTTTGTTTGGTTTTCTAAGAAAACCTATTCTTTAGTGACATGACCTACATTGCTTCCGTATCAGTCAAAATAAAAGGGCTGCCATCTAGTGGGCAACTAAACTTCATTTGCATGAATTGAAATATAAAGGCATTGAAATATAAGGATAAATATAAATGTGTGCCTCGTGGAATGTTTTTATAAAATAGTTAAAAAAAATTTGGGTAACTCAAACAGAGCTGTTGAATATATATATGTATTTAGCTATATGAACTTACCTCACTGCTGGTATTTTCTCTTAGATAGAGGTTGAAACACTATCAACCGAACTGGAGGCAGAAGAGGAGGAAGAGGAGGAGGTGCCCTTGAAGCCACAGCTCATCCCACAGGGTTCAGGAGGGTCTGGGGTCCTGATGGGTCCTGACACACAGAAAGGTCTGAAAAAGCACTTGCAAACCAAATCCAGTATAGTATGTAGATGAATAAAAAAAACATATCAATGTTATATTAAATATGAAAAGGTAATAGTCAGATAAAAGGGAAAGGTGCTAACAAGTCCATCTTTGTGTGTTTTTCCTATGCATGTGTTCCATTTAACTAGCAGTCAATGGTTAAATGTGTGCTTCTTGTTGTCATATTAACCTAATCAGTGTTGTGAACTCACTCTTCTGATCATCAGCGTGTTCATTAATACCTAATCTTGTCTCTAACAAGAGGTGGAGCTGCGTCTGGCGCCCAGTGACATCCTCCATGTGTCCGGGGATGCAAGGGGCTCTGCGGGCTCAGGGGCTTCAGGGGAGTCTGGGTCATCGCCCTCTGGAGGGTCTGGGGGGTCTGGAGGGTCCGGGGACATAGTCTTTATCTCTGGAGCATCCCAGGAGCTGCTGGGGTCAGGCTCTGGCTCAGGTGGCTCTGGGGAGTTCCTGCTCTCCGGAGATGTGCTGTTCTCTGGAGATGTGTCGGGGTCTGGGGAGCCTTCTGAATCCGGGGACTTATCCGGGGTCTCTGGGGATGTATCTGGGGGCTCTGGGATTGCCGTGGAGCTGGGATCTGGATTTGGAGAGTCCGGAGACCTGTCTGGGTCCGGGCTGTCAGGGGCCTCTGGAATCTCTGGGGCTTCTGGGGAGTCTGGTGAATCTGGTTTCTCAGGGATAACATTCATAGAAGGTTAGTACTTTAGCTTTGCCTTAGTTTTAGCTATTTGGGATAAGTGATCCTTCCTCTATGTGGTCTGGAGACTCTAGAGCAGTGTTTTCTAAAGGTTTCTCAATAAGGGCTCTTCTAAGAATAATGATATGTAATTACAACAGAATTCATCCTAACTCTCCAGCAGTCCTTATTCACAATTTGTTTAGTGTTCATTTATAACACTGTAGTAAGTCAAAATTTCTTTCATTTAAAACTGTAGTTTTCCTGGGGCACACGTTTTGGAAAATGCTGGTCAAGAGTACATGTCTTGTTTATCTCCATGATCTCTCGTTTAACTGCCTCATTGTTCAGTGTAGTTAAATGTTGTATTTTGTTTAACACCAGCTTCATACTGTCTACTTAGTTTGTGCACTTTAACATTATGTCTCTTAACTGCCTCCTCACTGTTAAAGGCGAGGGAGTGCCCTTCATCTCTGGGACTGGTCCCAGTGAGGCATCAGGGACATCCGGGGAGATCTCAGGAGTCTCGGGTGTTTCGGGTGAAGCCTCTGGAGATGTAGACATCTCAGGAGCCTCTGGGACGTCTGGGGTCTCTGCCTCTGGAGAACCAGAGTTCCCTGGGGTCACTTTGATGCCTACAGGTCAGTGTCTCACTCAAGTGAGATCAACTGTAGTCAACTTAAATAATTATGAAACAGTGTGATATTATATGGGATACATTTCCTTAAATGTATGACTTGCTACTTATCAATTGCTAAAATGCAACTTCAGTTTAACAAGAATGGCAATCAGCACGTTTGATTGCTAGACCTGCTTTGCTTTTCTGGTCTAATCTGTCCATGTCCAACCTAATCCTGTGTCTAACAAGAGGAGGGGCTGCTTCCCACTACAACACAGAGCCCTGAGGAGGGCAAAGGAGGGGTAGAAGGCCCAGAGAGCTCTGGTGAACCAGACGAGACAGAGGAGCCTGACAGTCAAGGTCAGTACTCAGGCACTTTAGAGTAAACCGTCTGAAATATGTGGGTCAAATAATCCCAGTTCAGTTTATTTGTGTGTGCTCTCATGACATCATCATATCACACATTTGGGGCACATGTGTAAACCTTGTGTTCTGTGCTATAGGCATGCCCACCTGTCTGCTATGTACATGTCTGGGGGGCTCAGTCTACTGTGATGACCTGAGGCTGGACAGCATACCTCCTCTTCCCAAAGACACCACACACTTCTATGCACGCTACAACCGAATCACCAAAATCCACAAGTCTGACTTTGCCAATATGGGTACGTCAAATAAAATATTAAAAAGATGGCAACTAAAAACTGCAACCCAGTGTTTGTCATACACATTTTAGGCAAACTGAAGAGGATTGACCTAACTGCCAACGAGATCACATCTTGTGATGAGAAAGCATTCATTGGTCTTCCTGAACTGGAAGAGTTGGTGATCAGAGAGAACCACATTTCACAGCTGCCTGCTCTGCCTGAAACTATGACCCTCATCGACGCCAGCCACAATAACATTGGCTCTAAAGGCATTCACAGGGAGGCCTTCAAAGTGTGTACAATTGTCTTAGCAAACAAGTGTATTTAATAGCATATTGCTAATGCTTGTTTTCCCTTTGATTAGGACATGACTGCCTTGCAGTTCCTGTATATGACAGACAACAACATTGACTACATCCCTGTGCCTCTGCCCGACAGTCTGCGGTCTTTACACCTACAGGTAGGCCATCAAGAATGTGCTCAAGTAAACCCTATTATCTTTATACTATATGTCAACATATAATATAACTATGTTTAAAATAAAGAGAGTACATTTAAAGCAAACATAATATGTATGCTACTAGTCTATGTTGTGACTTATCAAAACACTTTCAATTTACAAGTCTGATATTATACAAAAATTTTATGATGTGGCAAAAATTGCCATTTTCTTTATAAACTCATTGTGTAACTTTTTTCTAGCGTAACAACATTCAGACAATGCTTGAGGACACTTTCTGCAACCTGAAAGATTTCAACTACATCAGAAATGCGCTGGAGGACATCCGCCTTGATGGAAACCCAATCAACCTGAGCAGGACCCCTCAGGCCTATGTGTGCCTGCCCCGTATACCCATCGGGACCCTTGTGTGACCTCACACACACTAACATGTACTTTTGCACACTGACTCCACAGATGCAACCACCTGTACACACCTTTGTACATACCGACACATACAAACACTACCAACTGCATTTCAGTGGTTCAATCTGCTGCAGACAGATTCAACTCTTTGTGGATATTTATGGTTAAGGCACCCTCATGAGTTTATAACCTGGTCAAGCACTGATCAACTGTAGTTCTCTGATTTTTGGAAGGACATCAAAGCTCACACATTGCACACTATTTATACTTTATCGTGATCCATAACCATGTTTCAAACATGCGAACACATACACAAACTAATACCACAACTTGATTGAATAAAAAGGTGGCGTTCAGTTAAATCTAATGATAAACACTAAAAACAGCATGTCTGTTCAATTAGTGTCTGTTCAAACTGGCAGCAGCCTAGTTTCATTGTTTAAATATGTTTTGTAAAAAATAAAGTTAATAATATTAATATTAATGAGAAATCTAACAATCCTATGTATACGAGCATGAGCAATGAGGCTTAATGAGGGGGAATTTAATTAAAGCAATAAAATGTGCATTTAAACGCATCCATTTGTTGTAAAGTCTGTACTGTAACTGTAATATAGAAGAAAGAACCTTTTTTACATGAACTGCAATATTTGGTATATTTGATTTAAGAATTAATTGTAAAGACACAAATGCAAGACTCTACCCAGAGTCCTATAGAAAAACTAAAGACTATTGTTGATTTTGGGAGGGGGGTTGTTTATTGTGGAAGGGGTAAAACTAACAGCTCAACTTTGTGTGCTCTCTGTATGGAATAACCACAAGTAAATAAATGCGTTTTGAAGACCTCTCCAAATTAGATGGCTCTCTCTTTTCATTCACAATTCTGTTTGGTAATGCAGCAAAAACTGTTTTTCCTAATTTGTACACTTACAATTAGTCTAACAACATATGTGGATTTAATCTGAAACTGTGAAATTATTTTCAAAAATTGTTAATAAGCTTTTCAAACAAGAAAAGAAAACGCTCTTTTCTGTCTGTACAGTCTGTATTTTCCAAATTGCCCTGAGTTCTCACCAATCTAGCTTTCTCCTGCTCCAGAGCCAGTCGGTCTTTGGTCACTGTCTCTCTCTCCTTCTCCACTACCGCCCTCTCTCTGTCCAGCAGGGCTTTCTCCCTCACTATGGCAGCTCTGTCTCTGTCCAGTGACGCTCGGTCTCGCTCCAGTGATGCCACTTCTCTATCCAGCGCTGCCCGCTCCCTCTGCAGCAGCAGGTGCTCACGCTCCATGATCTGCTTGTGCCGGTCCATCACTTGTTTTTCATTGTCTACTTCCTGTAAGATGTGCCCTATATCCAGATTTCCTTCTTCAGGCACCTCTCCGTTTAACGTGACCTCAACTTCTGGACCTGTGAACAACTCTGAAAAGGCTGCAGGAGCCTTTGATTCTACTGATGAAATTGTAGGCATAAGCAGCCTCGTCTTCTTTCGCTTGGGGAAGTTTAAGACCTCATATCTGTCTTGTTGTGTGGTTGCAAGAATAGAAGCACTCCCATCTAGGCGACCTTCCATAGCATCATTCATCAAAGTGTAAAAGGACCACTGAGGAAAAGATGTAACTTCATGACCATGATCCTGAGGGGTTAATTTTATCTCCTAGAAAGACAAAAACAGAGCAGTTTAATAAAGGAGAGGTGTGTATAAGCTTTCAAAAGAGAAAAAGAACAGCACTTTGTATTTCTTTTTCATATTTTCCCATTTTTTGGCTGCTTGATAGTGGGTCATTTTGTCTTGTAATCCCATGTGTCTGAGAATAGCCCTAAAGAAAAACAATACACAATTGTTTGGTCTGATCCCAAATAGCATTGCGTCATACAATCTAGGGATGTCATTGGGAATATGTAATCTATAGGCTTACCTCCATCCACACATGGATGCATTCCTTTTTCCATTAAAAAGACTTTTATTTGACATCCTCAGCTTTACCAGTTCTTGCGTTTCTTTTGGATTCACTGAAATATAAAATGTAATCAATGTAGAGGAATAACATTTTCACAGTTCTAATAGAGAAAAATAACTGAATACATGATTATGATCTTCAGCTAGGACCTGACTGTTACTTGTTTTAAGCTTGGCAAATTCTTGTTGTCACTTCACAAGAGCGCTGGGTTGGCTAGTGCTAAAGTGGTCCACTCTGATACGAATGTCACTTGCTAGGAAGTTAGGGCTTGCTTGCGCCGAAGACTAGCTAGTTTATTTACTAGTCTTTCTTGGCATCTTACTCACATTTATAAACGATCTCACTGGGAAATATTTCATTATGGCTTTCATCATGTCCTTGGCTCGGGTCAGTGTAGTCATGGCACTCCATGCTGCGGTACGTTTCTTATTTACTTAGTTTATTATAACGAAGGAGGGTCCATTGGAGGATGCATGAGGAGTTCCACTTGTTTCGGAGGGCCCTGCGTTCTCATGCGCTGTTCTTGAAGTAAACGCACTAGATCTGATCTCAGGTACTTTGGCGCCATCCAGTGACACGGAGTACCAAGACTTTCTCAGATTGTATCATAATCTTACATTGTATCATTTTTTAATGTGTATTTGTAATTTACCCCTACATAATTACACTACAACAACAAACTCCATAATACCCATAAAATGATTGCAATCTGGAATTTACTGCTTGCATTATTTCAGCCAGGTCAAGATCTACAAAGGATGATTACAACTTCTTTTTGAAATGTTTGCACTTTCATTAGCACCACATTAAATGAGTGCATTTTCACTCTTCACTGATTCAAGCAGCACAGTGAAGTACTTGAAGTAGTTTGTTTCCAACAAGCCTTGAACTTTTTAAATGTTGGCTATATTTTTTTAATGATTCTTGCTGAGAGCACACATAATAAAGCATTTTAATGATGAATGTTTTTATATTCCCATATTTTCAGTGGATCATTTCATTTCAACCATTTACAATTATGGTCCACACTTCACATAACATATGCAGAAAAAAAGAACTGTAATACATTTTAATCATAAAAATTTCACATAGTGCATAAAAGATTCTATATGTGTTGTTTATATATATATATACTTCAAATCAAGTGAAAAGGAACTCACTTTGATGGAACGAGACATCACATAGCATGTAGTTATACAGTGTAATGATCATTTGTAAAAAATAAAAATTTTGCATGGTCTAAGGACACTGCCAACATTACCTTCTGCTACTATAAGAATTATTGCACACAACTCATCAAAGGCCTCTTAACCACAGGATTAAACTTTCAAGGCCATACATTGTTTTCAGTAACTATACATTTTTATGTCTTCAGCACAGTTTCACCTTTAATGAAAAGTGCTAAAACACGGTGTCTTAAATCCAGTGATTGAGAGTATTGGTCACGTTGAGGGGATTGCTCATTAAAAATACAAACTAATTTGTGGCTGAATTCAGTAACATATACGATTTTCTTTCAGACAAAAGCCAAAATTAAAAACTACAAACTGAAAGGAGTATAATACTTCTACTCGTGAGAAAAACTATCTCATTGTCCACAGGAAAGGCACATTGGCCCATAAGCAGTGCAAGAGATGAGGTTTAACAACAAAACCTAAGCAACAGCAAGTGTTCCTCATAGATACAAAAGTGAAAAACACTGATGTCACATTGTTTAATTAGATATTTGAAATTTAACAGGAGAAAATTTTAATTAAATTCTGAATGCATGATTTTCCCAATTCTATCCTAATTTTATGAACAGGATTCAAAGGGCCATATTATTTTGTTCAAAACCAACAGCTTTTTGTTATTTTGATTTCAGATTAAAAAACAAATCAATTTAGTTATTTATGTGACAGTGAAATCCATAAAACATGAAAGCCGCCTTGAGTATAAAATTAAGAATCAGACAGTATGGATGTGCACAATAAAACTAACAAATATGCCATCTTTTTAGATAATCTTTTTAAAATACCACCCAATTCCTTTTATGATACAAAGACAGATCCTTCAGATTTGTAATCACACTAAGTTTTGAGTAAAAAACTGTAAGAAAATATTTTAATTCCCAGCATTTTTAAGGAATATGTTCTCACCTACCACATCCTCTTCAAGTAAAAAGTCAATTTTAGGTGCATTTTTTAGAAGGTCATCATCCAATTAAATAACCAAAATAGAGAAAAGTTTTTTGTTTTTTACATTCATCCTGCTCCAGTTTTAAATTTTCCAATCACAAATCTCTATCTAAAATTATAATTATTATATCTTTTTATAATCTTTTAAGTATTATTAGCCAAATAAGTCTTTTAGGTCGTTACTAACTGATGTACTCTGTTTAATTGCACTTTGGTTCATGCCAGGTGAGACGGCAGGTTGAGAAAAGTTTTGTGGACTGAAAAAGGGGTTGGCTTGCATCCCAAAGCCACCCATGCCTGCTGGGGCTGCCTGCATTGAAGCGTTGTGGGCTGAACCAAACTGATTGGGCCAGGGAGTGCTATTTGCCGGGGCAGGACCAGGTTTGGGGCCCATTTGATTGAGTGGAACTTTGGGCTTATTAGATGTAAAAAGATTGTCCAAGGCTGACATATCTGGAGGTTTATTTGCCTGACCCATTTGTCCTTGGTTCTGTGTGAGGGCACCAAAGTTCGGGGTGCTGGTGGTGGTAGCCATACCACCATAAAGACTGGGGCCTGGAGGTCGCATACCCATACCCATGCCAGCAGCCTGAAAGCCCATAGATGTATTGAAGCCATTGGACATTGGAGCGCCCATGGAGCCCATCATCGGGTTAGGAGCAGGGAAGGGCGACATAGTGGAACCCTGCACTGGACCAGGACGCGGCGTGTTGGCCAAAGACATACTGTTTAAAGAGGTCATGTTGTTTACAAGGCTACTGGTCAGGTCTTTTGTCTGAAACAGAAAATGTACATTTATTAGAGATTCTAGTTTAACATGAATAAACATACTAACATACAGACGCAGTATTACCTGCTTGGATGAAGTGGAAGATGGTTTAACGGTTTGTGGTGCTAATGGTTGCTGACTCCTAAGTTTAGCAGCCTGCTCTTGCTCTTTAGCGAGTCGTTGTTTTTCTTCTAATGTCAGAGACATCTGAGGGAAGAAAAACATGAAAAGACAATGCCAATTTAAAAACAATTCATAGTTTTTAAAATAATGCATGTTAAAAATAAACTTTTTACTCTGTTCAGGGCTGGTGCAGAGGAACCATGTTCTTTGCCATTGACAGTTGTGCTTCCAAAAATATCATCCATCTATAAAGTAACGGTAGGAAAAACATCAGAAAATAAAAGGCAAATGACCCATAGCAAAGCTCCAACAGTCTTGAGGGTATGTGTTATCTAACCTGGTTTCCAGAGTTTGGTGGCTTTGTCTCTTCCGATTGGTTCCCTTGGTTCGATATGTTTAAACTTCTACAACAACAGGCAAAACAGGTTTAAAGTTGGGAGCATGTGTCCACTATTCAAATCTACTATATTAACTTTTTCTTTATACTACAATATGATTTTTAAAATTGATACATACTTGGTCTGTTCCTGCATCACATGAAGCTGCTCCAACTTAGTCTTATGTTCAGCCTCCATTCGACTCAGCATCTCTCGAATAACCACCATGAAAGAATTAAACTGTAAAAAAAAAGACTTTTGATAAACATAATGAAACACAATGACATGCTAAGGGGATAGTGGTAGTACCTGGTTCAGATTGAGATTATTGTCTATACTGAGAGACACAAGGTGGGGCAGGCTCTTCGTGGCAAGATGTTCTTTGGGAATACCCAGCTTCTTGTGACTGAAAGTGCACTTGTAAATTCCTATAGTATATAGTATAAGTTACTAAATATTTGGGTTAATTAAAATTGCACATTTTTATAATATTTAAGTATGCTAAATACCTAGTATCCCCATGAGCACAGCTGGTTCTCTTGATGGAATTTGCTGCAGGAACGGGAGGATCTCATCAATTACAAACCACTTGTCCAGATATTCTAAGATCTTCCCCAAACACACCAGAGAGTTCACCCGTACCTAAAAACCAAAAAGATATATATTACATAAAATTAGCCAGTTGTCTGTTTGGTATATGTTTCTTTTTTAATATAAATTTAAACTTACAGCAAGAGAAGATGTCTGCAGACACGCTGATTTAATCTTTGGAATAAGAGAGTTCTTCATAGATGGGTAGTCAATTAGATTAGCAAATGTAGGAATGATGTTCAGACACAACTCCTGTTTTATATAGGACCATATTAGATTTCAGATTCACTGCATTTAAAGATTTTTTTTTTTTGTTCATACCTGGATCTGTACGGAAGGAGCTTCAAGAGCGCGATAGACCATTGGTAACACACTGTTCTTGATGTCTTCTGCTGGTGTTTTGGTCAACAGCAAGTCCATTTTTGAAGAAATATCAACAAAATCTAAGCAATAAAAATGGTTTGTTTAAAATCAAAAGAAAACACAATCACAAAACAAATTTCTTCTTGGGTATGTCCAGAGCTAGTTTGGTTAATTACTTAATTTGTTACTACAAGAGGCAGAACCCACTCACCATGTTACTAGCCTGAAGAAGCATGAAGGAAAAATGGAAACATACAAATCTTGAAACAAACTGAATACTTAGTAACATTTGAGTTAAGAAAAAAATGTCTAGCATTCCCTATGGCATATTTTTACATGGCAGGTTACTGTCATACAGGTATATACACATGTTGTACCTGGATGGGTTCTTGCTGCTTAAAAACGGGGGTGAGGTCAGGCAAAATGAGTCGAACATACTCCTCCTTGGTGCACTCTTCAGCAATGAGTAGTACGTTTGGCAGTACAAAGGGAACCATATCGGGATTGACAAACTCTGAAGTCAACGCCGGTAAGATCCGATACACAACAACTCTCTAAAAAAAAAGCACAATGACAAAACTGATTAGACAGTAAATTGTCTTTAAAATATGATACATAATGAGTAAACCAGACATGTCCAAACTATGGCTCAAGTACTAAATGCGGCCCCAAAACAACTTTTTATTGATCTTCATGCTTCCTGTTGAGATTGCCCAGAAATTTGAAATTTACTGAAATAACAAACAATAATACCCTCAAATACTAATATTTTGGTGTGGGACTGATATTAAACAGACAAGCCTGTGTGGGGCACAGTTAAACCTATGCTTAATACTCTGAATGACTGACAGCATCATCCGCTCTCTGTGGCTTTCTGCTTTATAACGGTTTCAGATGTGAAAAGTTTGGATATTCCTGGAGTAAACTATATATAAGCAACCTACCTTGGGAAGTTTAGGCAAAACTTTAGGCAGGCCTTTATAAAACTGTGATTTTTGTAGGTTGTCTCTTTGAAATAGTGAGTCGAAGTACTGAAGAGTTACAGCTCCGACATCATCAAAAAATGGGATCTGAACACAAGACAAACAACACAGGGGTGATATGGTCTCCTCACTGTAATGAACATTTACTACATTAAACTGACCTTTGTCATCTGGTCAGCATCAGGTCTAACAGTTGGTGTTACACTTAAAAGCATCTTCACATGGTCCCGAACCTCTTCTGGTATTTTGTTTAGCAGTGCTGGACTTATGTTGGTCAGCTAATATAGTAATGATAAATAGTAACAGAAATAATAATTAGGGGAAAACCTATAAAACGTACATGTAGTGTCTAAAAAAAATCCTCAACTGTATCAGTGCAGGAAATTTCAAATCAGGCAGTGTTACTCACCTGGTCCAATTGTCTACTGAAGCTTTTAAAAATGTCATGCTTGTTGACTTGGAAAACAGGCTTGCCTTCATTAAAGACAGCGTGCATTACCACACCCAGAGAGTACATGTCAGAAGCCGAGTCACAGCTCACTGACAGGATGTACTCTGGGGCAAGGTACTCGGGGTTAGGGAGGCAGAGAGGAGGCAGGTTAGGTTCCCACTCTTTACATGAGTATTTAGGCTACGAGGAGAAGGAAAACCAGAAACAGTTTTTCTAAGAACAGCTTGTATATGTATATGTACAGTATATGTATATACAATAAAATAGGAAGGGTTAAATCATGTCAACAGGCCTAAAGGGAGAAATAATAAAGCAAAATCAAATCAACAGACCTCTGCATCTGAGGGGTTGCTAGAGGAAATGCTGAAGTCAAAGCCCATTATTTTCCAGGCACCACTTTTATTGAGAATGATGTTTTCAGGACTTAAGTTTCCATGAACCATTTTTACTCCACTGTGAAGAAATGACAGCCCTTCAGATATCTTAGGAAAAAAGAGAGAGAGGCATGGTTATCACTGAAGTCATATCCTTCTTTTGTGTATCCTTTATTTTTATATCCTTTTATATCATATCATATCCTTTCTTTTAATAATTAAGTAGCTAGAGTTTCAACACTGAATGCCCTTCCTGTCTCATCCATTCACATTTCTGTTAGTGGAGTGGATAATTGATCAGGAATTGAACCACAGACAAACACAAATAAAAATACTAATATTACCACATCAGTATAATACTGAAGAGGCTCAAGAGAAACTATGCAGTTCTAAATGTTTCACTCTTGCCCATTCTCACCTGTAACAAGCCATATTTGGTTTCCACATCAAATAGTTTATATTCCTTTATGTCATTGGGCACAGGACTGGGGAGATTGTCCCATTGACCCAGCACATTTGCAAGACTGGCAAACACGGGCTCAGTACAGAATGCAAGACAATCTCTGAAAAATAAAGAAATTAAGTTAACAAAACGACTTTCATAGGATGTAGGTGTAATAAAAGTTAATGTATTTCTCATTGTTAGTTTAAAGAGGAGGACACTTAACCCACAGTGCATTTTCCATACAGATAGTTTTGCCTAAATTACCGTGATTCTTCAAGAGGATGCTGCACTGTCAAAAGACGAGGGTGACGTAGTCTGGTCAACTGTTGTACACCTTTTTTTAAGGAATCAATAATTTGGTCCTTTTCATATTTCTGATATTTGTCAACTACCTTTTTATCAAAGAAACACTGCCACTTCCTGAAAGAAAAATAAAGAGTGCAAGGTACTGATATATATTCCCCCTGGTAAACATAGAATACAGAAGGCATCTTTACAGAAATATGACTGTAAATCAGACAAACACACCTGTTTAGTGGACTTCTTGGTGCCATTGTAAATCCTCCAGCACATGCAAGGTCCCCCACTGGCAATATGTCTCCCAACCTCAAATTCCCTTGTCACTGGGTTCCCCATAACGGCACTGGTGACATCAGCAGTCACCTTTGTGACTGTGCTCTTTAGTTTGTTCAGCATAGACTCCATTTTAAAACCTGAAAAAAGAGAGTAAACAATTTAATTAAAAAATACAGTTAAAAATCTTTAATGTACTGAGAAATATTTATTTGACTTTATAATTTAGAGATTTATGACTAAATGCACCATTTACTGGTTACAGGTTGGCTATTGCAGGTCCTATATTACACAAAATTGAGTCTTGTCGTTACTTCCTCCAAAACGTACCCCAAATTGTATTTTGTTTCATTCACACACATTTATTTATCTATTTTACTCAAATAAAAAAAAAAAATATTATGTATATATATATATATATATATATATATATATATATATATATATATATATATATATATATATATATATATATATAATATATAAAATTTAACTGGGTTCCACATGTAGATCTTTTCTGTGAGATGAAAGTCAATAATTATGTCATACATTATAATTAAATTTGTTACCATTTGTAACTATGAGACAATTCCGA